TTAAAGATGAACTAATTTCGGGAGGTCCATGTTACAATTAGCTAGGACGGTTACACATATTAGAAACATGTCTTGTTCTTCAACTCAGTTCAAGAATCAAGTTGATACGAGAATCAATAAATCAATAGGCATTTTCAGTATTTAGGATGTCTGTCACATATCTTTTATCTATCTCCAGCTCTAGTCGAGACATTTATTGATACAAGTATCTAAAGTACCCTCCAATCAAATAATCTAGCTCCTTGTAAAATGATTCATTGATATAATAACATATGCAAACAACTAAATAATGTATATATAAGTAACATTATAATTATATATACAAGAATGACATTAAATCCGTATATCCATCAATTTTGTGAACACTGTCATTTAAAGAGTTATGAACCTCCGTTCAAGGATACCATTAATTTCATAGAGATTGTCTGTCGTTCCATAACAGACAAGAAAGAAGAGGTTTCCCAACATAAGACTTTCGACAAGAATTATTGAACTACAAAAATGATTATCTATTATCTATAAAAACAATTATCCAATACAAAATTGTCTCTCACTCTCCATTATGGTAAATTTCCCCATTTAGCAGCAGAATATTATTAGTATTGTTTCATCTTGTCTTTTCTTCTACATGCAAATGAGAATTTAAAGGGGGTTTCATCTTTAATGATGCTTCACTATTGTGCTTCTGTTTTGAGCCAAATTTGAATCTCAAAAGCAGCGAATTTGTCATCACACCAAGAGAGCTTAAACCCATGAGGGCTCCGGCAATTGATGGAGTCAACATAGTCCCTGTGACTGGCAGCAGCATTCCGGCTGCAATTGGAATTCCAACCTGTGAAGAAACAAAAAACAGGACAAAGAAAAGTGATATCATTACCAATTTATCATGAAAAGAAAAAGAGTAAGAACTGATGCAAAAATACATCCCAACTTTGTTTGTCAATGGACCAAAACAACTTTGGACTGGTTTGTGCTGCATTAAGAAATGCTACCGTCGGAGGATAGATAACACGTAGTAACTACTGCTAGCAACCATCATGCCGCATTAAATTTGAGGTCAGGTCAAAACAATATTTGTGTTGACCATCATGTGAGTCAATTTAGAGACCAAACATCTTAAATTGAACTTGGAGAGTATGTCAAAATTAGGATATGTGCCAGATTCCTAAAAGATCTGGTTCTAGTTTTGCAGGAAAGAATAATATATATATATATATATATATATATATATATATATTTATCAGAACTTTGAGGACTAAGGTGAAAAAGATAAAACTACGAAAAGACTTGATAATTGGCTATATATATATATTTATCAGAACTTTGAGGACTAAGGTGAAAAAGATAAAACTACGAAAAGACTTGATAATTGGCTGCATTGTTATTAATGCATATAAAATCATGGTTAATCTTTTTCATATCTCATCGATATAAAAGGAAGAAAGGGAACCAAAAGGAACAAAATGAGAATAAATACAGCAAGGTTGATGAAGCCCAGCGACTACGCTGTTGATCAGCTCTCTAAATTATTAACCAATCTCATTTGATCAACAACTAGGATCCGAGGTAGGACATCAATGCTGACCTAAAACAGAACAAATTGTGAAGTGCAAAAGAATTATGAACATACCATATTGTATGCAAAAGCCCACCAAAGATTTTGCTTAACAGTCTTCATGGTCAGTCTGCTAAGCTCCAGAGCATCTAGCAACTTCATGGAGGTAATGCAAGTCAGTTTCCATGGTAGAATACAAGGTCTGAAATCAAGTGCTAGTTATGCTAACAAGATGAGACAATATAATTAAATGATTGGTAACATCCTCGTCCAGATAAACCTTGAGCTAGTGAATTAACCATATAGAATAAATAATACTGAAAATGTCTTAGGTTTATAAAAACTTCAAGCCCATTGATTCAATTTAAGTAATATATGCACAAGCCTGTTTTGAAAAAAACACATAATGGTTCTATCTTCCCAGCACCTCCATCACAGGCAGGAGAGGATGTTATATAAGTAGCTTAAACACATCAATAATCCAGGCTGTAAGACAAAACCTTAAAAGGGAATGTTTACCATTTCACCGTCTAACTGACCTGTTCACAGGCTAGATGATGATGCCAAGTAAATACTCTACATAATCCTTAGCAGTAACTGTAACAAGGGCCACTTTATGGTTTACACAGTGTGCAGTTGGAAACAATGATTATAACACTGGCACTTGATAAGTTCTTAGTATGTAAAAATGGTAAAGCTGTTAGCACTGTGGTTTAGTGAGTCAGGATGATGCGTTAGCCATATGCCTGACTAGAGAAGACATACCCTCTTCGGAAATCCAAAAGCCAAGGCTTTGGGGCCCACATCAAACAAGTTAATTTGATTCTAGAAGTCCCCATGGTAGTTTTAGGGCATTTAGTTATTTTAATTGTCATACATTTTGAGCTCTATTTATTCATAGGTTTTACATCAAAAGTAGGATATATAAGTTATTTACTGTAGTCGTAATAAAACGAGTTGTGACTTGGTTTTTTCGGCAAATATGTTGTTGCGACTTATTGTCCATGCTGTTGTTACAGGTGTCTTTCGCACTATTGTAGCAGGTACTGCTTAATAACATTCGTGATATTGTCGTAGGTAGGTTTCTTTTATTTTACTTCAAATTAAGAACCAAGATTAGTTTGATTTTAAGGGCTATGATTTATTTCTAATGGTAAAAGCTGTAATGAACTAATCATCACTATTGGAATTAGTGAATCTCATCTATTCTGGATCAGTTACATCACTTAAATGAATCCTGTTTTATCATATTCCTTTATCTAAGGTCATAAACATCATTTAAAAACATTGTGCGCATCTCTTGCATCATCATTTCAACTCATTGATGATTTTAGTCTTCTCCTTTCCCTAACATTACCCGTCAATGTGGTTATGTCACCATTCCTAAACTCACGACGATTCGTCTTCTCCTCTCCCTAACATTGCCCTCAACGTGGATTATAACACTATTCCTAACTAGGCAATTATTCATCTCATCACATATAGCCAAAACCCATTTAAAACAAAATTTTCTCATTTTATCAACTACAATGGATGTTACCATCACCATCTAATGAATGTATTCATTTATAATATTCTCATTTCCTATCTGACAACAAATCTACTCAACTACGCATTTTGGATTTATAAGTATATAGTCACTTAATCACCCAACATTTCATTTGTAAACTACGACTGATCAAATTAATACTTTATAGAATTTTCTTTTCAGTTTAGGACACTTGGTGGCAATATGAAACACTTCACTTAAATCATCCCAATTCAATTCTATAAACAACATCAACTCCAATCTCTCCTTGTGAATAATCAAGCCCAGATTGCAAAACTATACTTTTTTATATCTGTTGCCCCGTGATCTTCACTCCATCCCACTTGTATTCCTAGTTTATAAAGTTACATTGTATGCATTCAATTTCAGTACTATTTATCTTAAATCCTCATAATTCGAGAGATTCTTTTTGAACTTGTAACTAAGCATTCATCTCTAATTTAATCCAATCAAAATTAATATTGGAAGTAACAAACACCATGGATCCTCGCCTTGATAGGTCTAATCAGTTCATTCAAAACTAAAAAAAAAAAAAAATAGGACCTTATTATTTATTCATGATCAAAGCCTACAGTGATTAGAAATTCACTACTTCGATTATTATTGAAACTTGCCTTGAAAATTGAAGCCTTCATATTCTGTTACAATTTGTTATTTCTTGTTCAAATGCCACGTAATAATGAATAATCACTTATCATCCTTGCCGTCTATTATATACCATCACTTATAGAGAATCTAAGCCTCTCTTACTTATTTCATAACTGACCCTAACCTAATTCTACATCGAAGTGTAGAAGCTTTACAAGTTTCTACCTCATAAGAAATATAGGGTTGCTGAAGAATACGACAGCTGTACTTGTACATGCACAAACAGTCTAGAAATATTTTCTAAATGCCAGCAATAAGAATCAAACTCTTAACCCAACCCCTTCTTCTTATATGTCATGCCAACACCTTTTCAAGTATGATTTGAACATATTAAATAAGAAAAATAAAAACAATAGGTTTTGAAATAATCATCGAATCTTTTGAAACCTAAAGTAAATCAAATTAATTTGGGTAATTAATCAACTATAGTTGTAGGGAAATATGAAGGTTGATATTGTATAAAAACCCAAATGTGGTTTAAACATATTACAGACGTAAAATAAAAAGCACCGCTAGCGGTACGAAAAGAGAGGTCATGATGATATCATCTACGTTGGTATCGCATCTCGTGGAGTAGATCGAGAATCCAGCCAAGTCTTCGACCAGGGAACAGGAGAATTCCCACTACTGCTGGCACGCCAGCTCAACATAAAGTTAGACCGGGCCAGGCTCAACATAGAATGAAGGGGCCTAGGATATTGAAGTAATAATCAATGAGTCTAACCTAATGTTAACTAAATTAAGCACTAACCAATGTCAGATCATAAGATGAATCATCACATTTTAATGGTCAACAGATCCTAGCGTCTCTAGTGAAACGACAAGTTTACATGCAGTAAGGCGTGAGCATACATGTGCCTGACAGTAAAGTAAGTGATGTGAAAAATTAAACCTTTCCTGGCAATGCTGCTAAGTTCAAATTGAGAGTGATTGGAAAATACCTGGGACAATCTGTTGCCCATTAGCACAATAGAAGACACCTCACTAGCAGCTCCAACACCTCCACCCATGGCAACTCCTACATGTGATGAAGCCAAGGCTGCAGCATCATTAACTCCATCGCCGACCATAGCTACAATATTCTGATCCATCTGGAGTTCTCTTATGAAGTTCTTTTTTTCATCCGGTTTGACTCCATATAGCACCTGCCATCCACAACATTCTTTATTTCTCTATTTTTTTTTAATGTATTGACATATTATTCATCATTTATACTAACAGAACTTTCAACCAAGACTTCTGTTATTTTTTATTCATGCACTTCTGTTATTTTGTTATATAAACAAAAAAATAAAGAAATCTAACACGTGGTCCCATAAAAGGGGATACAATTTTTTCTCTATTGAACTTACTTTTCTGCTGTAATTTAGTTTCATCTGTGATTATTTTAAAATGATTTTCCAGTGTAAGAATGCTTTAGGTTAATGAGCTTCAGTCAGGACCAAACATTATAACAGGGTTACCCCTCAGTAAATGATACTATGGTTCCCTACTCTCAGAAGGAACCTCAATGACCAAATTAGATCCCATTGAGAAGAAAATATAGTTAAGGGTAAAATACACTGACCTCCCCTGAACTTTGGTCCAATTACACTTGGAGAAAACATTTGCAAAAAAGTTAAACTTAACCCCCTTTGATACTTTACCACACACGGGCGTCAAATTTGTGTGAAATGTCAGTTATACCCCCAATATTGTAGTATTAATAAAATTAAGAGTAATGATATAGTGGCCGAAGGTTTTTGGCCGAATAGGGACCGAATCTGATGTGGCAAGGCCACCTCATATGATTAAATCTAAGTGAAACAAGAAAAAGACTAATGTACCCTAAATGTTTAGCATAATTTTCATTTAATACCCTTTCAGATCTGAAATAGAACATTCAAGAACTCCTTAGCCTATGAAAGTCATCTCTCTCCGTCTGAAATTTATCGAATCTCTTTGGACTTCTCAATCTCTTTCTTCTCTGTCCTCCCCATCAACGTTTATCTGTTTTGCATCTTCACTATCTCGCTTTAAAAACCTTTAAATTTGTTCCATCTTCATGACTCCACTAGGGCCGGCCATCATCTTGCACATCAAAACCTGTTCAAATAACCTATTCTTTTCTATGCCCTTCTTTCATTCAAAGGAGACCCGGCTCAATAATAATCTACCATGCATAAATCAAAAGACCCGATTTCCTTCACAAAAACCTAAATAAACCTTGTAAGAGGAGGGATTTGCTGTCATGCACCATAGCCAATTAGTAATCAAAAGGGAAGCAATGCAAAATTGGTCGGCCAAAAATGGATAAGCTACGCAACGTCAGAAATCATCCAGATTCAATAATGCTAAACAATGTAATTTGGGTGTATATATACATATATACATATATATATCTTTGAACACTCATAATCATATATATTTCTATGTTTTTATTTACTTTTACACCTACTTTTTTTTGGTTCGCCATGGTTCTGCGACTGTCAAATAAGGGATTATTTCTATATATCATGGTGGTGTTATTCAAAAGAATACTCAATAGAAGACAATATGGAGGAAACACGGTGTACTCACTCTTGTGGATTCCTAGTTTTTCACGCAAGATCAGATTAAAGCATCTGATGTGGCCTAGCCACATCAGATTCGGTCCCTATTCAGCCAAAAAGCTTCGGTCCCTGGTCGCTGCCTTGGTGTATAGGTGGCGATTTCAATGTAGTGCGCTCTCCGTTTGAGAGGTCGTCAAGGGCAGGTGGACGGCCGACATGGTGTCCTTCTCAGAGTTCATTGACGCTTATGGTTTGTTTGCTTTGCCTTTGGTGGGTGGGCCGTACACTTGGTCCAGCGGTCGCTCTCCTCCTACTCTCTCTCGACTTGACAGATTCATTGTCGAGTGATTGGGAAGAGAAGTTTTCTGATGTTGTTCAGACCACTTTAGCTCGCCCTTTGTCTGACCATGGTCCGTTGATGTTGGATTGTGGTGGGATGCGTAGCAGAAGGTCCCCTTTCAGATTTGAGAATATGTGGCATCGGGCTGAGGGTTTTCTGGAGCGAGTCCAATCCTAGTGGGTGGGGTATGGAGTGGTTGGTACCCCTAGTCATTCTCTCGCAGGCAAGCTACATCTTTTGAAGAATGATCTTAAAGTGTGGAACAAAGAGGTTTTCAGAAATCTGACTTGGAGGAAGAGTCGGGTTCTTTCTGAGATTTCTGATATCGATAGGATGGAGGGTTAGGGCCTTTTGCCGGTTCTCTTGAAGCTTAGGAGGGTGGAATGTCATGCAGAGTTTACTGAGATCGCTGTCATGGAGGAGATTTCGTGGAGGCAGAAGTCTAGAGCTTTGTAGCTCAAGGAAGGCGACAATAATACAAAAATTTTCATAGACTTGCCAATGCTCACAGAAGGGGAAATCACATTGGGAGGATTAGGGTGGATGGGGTGATGTTTTGTAAGGAGGAGGAGATTTGTAAGGGTTTTACTGATTACTTTTTGAGGTTGTTCACTGAACCAGCTGGATGGCGACCTTTGCTTGCAGGGCTTCACTTTGACTCTATTTCGAGTGAGGAGTGTTCTGTTCTGGAAGAGCCATTTTCAGAGGAGGAAGTTTTGTCTGCTTTAAAGAGTTGTAATGGGGATAAAGCCCCAGGTCCAGATGGATTTTCTATGAGATTCCTTTTAGAGTGCTGGGAGGTGGTCCGTGAGGAGGTGATGGGCTCTTTTCACGCCTTCTATGATCAGGGCTCTTTTGAGAAGTGTTTGAATGCCACTTTTATTGCTCTTATTCCGAAGAATGGAGGTGCGTTGAATGTTAGGGATTTTCGCCCTATTAGTTTGGTAGGTTGTTTTTATAAGTTGATTGCTAAAGTCTTGGCTTTGTGGGAGGTCGTCAGATTTTGGATTCCATTCTTATTGCTAGTGAATGTGTGGACTCCCGTTTGAGTTGTGGGGTTCCGGGTGTTTTATGCAAGCTAGATATTGAGAAAGCTTATGACCATGTGAGTTGGAGCTTCCTCCTCTACTTATTGGAGAGGATGGGGTTTGGTGGGCGTTAGAGGAGATGGATTCTTTTTTGCATTTCTAGTGCTCGATTCTCTGTCCTTGTGAATGGAGCCATTTTTTCTCTTGTTTGAGGGGTTTGAGGCAAGGTGATCTGCTTTCTCCCTTCTTGTTCCTTTTTGAGATGGAGGCTCTTAGCAGATTGTTGAAGAGGGCTATGGGGTTGGGATTTTTGAGAGGTTTTCGGGTGGGGCAAGGATGTTGCTAGTCAACTAGAGATCTCCCACTTGATATTTGCGGATGATACTTTAGTACTTTGTGATGCAGATGCGTCCCAACTGAGATATAGGGGTGGCAATTTGTGTTGGCGTGTCGTGTTCGTGTCGACACGATTACGACACGAACACGATTAGGGTTGACACGAACACGACACGATTATTATACGTGTAACACGACACGACACGACACGCATAACCTGTTTAATAAATGGGTCAAGACTTGACACGACATGAAAAGACACATTTAAGTCATTTTTGACACGAATACGACATATTTTGCTAAATGGGTCATTTTTTACACGAACACGACACGTTTATCTGACACGTTTAGTTAATCGGGTTAATCGTGTTTACAGGGTCAAACACGAACATGACACGTTTAGTTAGCGGGTCAATCTGTGTCGACACGATTATGACACGAACACGATTAGCCCAAACCCTAACCCGCTTATCTCGTGTCGTGTTAACGTGTTGTGTCAAATATTGCCACCCCTACTGAGATATTTGAGATGTGTCTTGATTTGGTTCTAAGTTGTCTCTGGCCTTAAGGTGAATGTTGGTAAGAGCGTTCTTGTGCCTGTTGGGGATATTCTTGAGATCGAGATGTTTGCTTAGATTCTTGGATGTCGCACTGGCTCTTTTCCCATTTCTTACTTAGGGTTGCCTTTGGGAGCCCCTTCGAAATGTGTAGGGAGCTGGGATCCGGTTGTGGATAAATTCGAGAGGAGGTTAGCGGGTTGGAAAAAGCAGTACCTCTCCAAGGGGGGATCGGGTCACTCTAATTAAGAGCACCCTTGTGTGAAACTTTCTCTTTTTTTTTTTTTTTTTTTTTAGGGGGGGGGGGGAGTTCAAGTATCATCTGGTTCAGTGGGATCATGTGTGCCGCCCGATTCGGAGTGGAGGCTTAGGGATTAGGAGGTTATTGCCTTTCAATAAAGCCCTCCTTGGTAAATGGCTCTGGAGGTTTGGGATTAAAAGGCAGTGGCCTTGGAGGAGAGTTATTGCGAGCAAGTTTGGGGAGAGCAGTGGTGGGTGGTGCTCTCTTGAGGTGCGTGGCCCTAAGGGGTGGGGGTTTGGACTTTCATTCGGAAGAGGTGGGATGCTTTCTGCAAGCAGGTTCGTTTTCGGATCAAGGATGGCTGGAGGATCTTTGGTGTGGGGAGACTCCCCTTGCCCTCGCTTTTCCACAGCTTTATAGGATTGTTTCTCACAGACAGGCCATGGTGGTTGACTGTTATCACCTTGATAACGGGAGACTGACTTGGGATGTTCAGTTTAGGAAGCACTTTCAGGACTGGAAGATTGAGGAGGTTACTCGTTTTTTGGAGATTTTGTATCGCCAGGTGATCACTGGTGGGGAACCGGATTGTTAGATTTGGGTTCCTAACTCTCAAGGCCGTTTCGAGGTTAGGTCTTTTTTTAGGTGCCTTTCGGTCGGCACTGGAGGCCCTTTCCCTTTGAAGTCTCTTTGGCGTTCTAAGGCCCCCCTTAAGGTAGCCTTCTTTGCTTGGACTTCCGTCCTGGGTAAGATTTTAACCTAGGATAAATTGAGGAAGAGGAATCAGATGGTGATCAATCGATGTTATATGTGCTTGTGCGATGAGAAGACAGTTGATCACCTTCTTTTGCATTGCAACATGGTCAGAGACTGTTGGGATTTGATGCTTGGATTATTTGGTGTCTTTTGGGTTATGCCATGTTCCTCCAAAGGCTTAATTGAGACTTGGAGAGGTGTCTCTGTTGGGGCTCTCGTGCAGGATGCCTGGAGGGCTACGCCTCTTTGTATTTGGTGGTGCATTTGACTCGAGAGAAATCGGAGATATTTTGAGGGAAAGGAGAAACCTATTTCTATGCTTAAGTTCTCTATCATTTCTACCTCTTTTGTTGGGTCTCAGGGAGAGATTATAGATCTATTGAGGAAATTATTATTTTTTTGGCCTCTTTGAAGGTTGGAGGCGCCTTTTGGCCCTTGTGTTTCTTTGGGATCCGCTCCTCTTTTTGAGCGTTTTTAATAAAATCTTACTTATCAAAAAAAAAAAAAAAAAAAAAATTTTTAATTTCCATATATGTAAAATGTCGCTTTCCTCCATTTAATATAATTTATTTTAATTCCCCTTTCCTCTCTCTTCCTCCTTTCGTTCTCTCTCTCTCATATCCACCAACCATCGCCATTCCCCCACCACCACCACCTCCTTCCACCCTTTACCGCCACTACCTTGTCACTCCACTACCAACTACCAAACCACTACATCTCCATCTCAATCATAACCAAATGGGTATTTTTAATTAGATAATATCAACGCTGCCTTTTCCATCTCAATCATACCCAATGTTTTGCAGACAACGGTGACGGTGATTTGGGTTAGGGGATGAGAGAGGAATTGTGAAGAATTGGTGGTGATTTGGGTTTGGAGGTTGCAGGGATTTCGTACGGGAAATTGGCGGTAGTGGTGATTTGTGTTTGGGTTAGGGATTTTGCTTGGGAGTTTTTGATAGAAACACACAAAATGGACGAAACAGTGAAATCACATATCGCCATTCCTTGTGCAAAAGTAGCAATTCTGATTTCTTCTCTGAAATCTACCGTGAATCAGTGGCTGAAGTCAACAAAAGACCCTGAGAACAAGGTTTCTCTCGGCATACACACAAATATATAGATTATTTTGTGAATCTGCAACTGCCATTGCTGCTTTGAATGTAATCTGACGAAAGGGAGATGATGTTGAAGAGAGCGATGAGCTTAAGAGAGAATTGACAAGGGAGAGAGTGAAGAATCAGAAGATGAGACTTTGCAGCGTGATGGAGTTGTGGTATAAAAAAGCAAGATGATGGAAAATCAGGAAAGCAATTATTCTATTTCTAAACATGGACTCTCCCTCGCATGGAAGTTTCCTGCTGAAAAAAAGATGGTAAAGAAAGAGAAAGGAAAAGATGGAGAAGTGAGAATGGTAGTCACAACTCCAGTGAGGTGATGTAGCCGAATTCACAACGCTTAGCCGTGTGACCGTGTCTCCATGAATCTTCGATCATCACCAATAGTTATTCTTTTGATCTTCGACTGAAACTTCAAGAGGAGGCTCTCCAGTAATTTCAGTAACTGTAGGTCTTTAACAGGTAGCAACTAGTTTTATTTTATTTTATTTTTTAATATTTTTTTGTTGGTTTGTCTAGAGACTTTTCCTTGTGATTTCATACCATTCGAGGGGGTAACAAAGCCGTAACAAATTATTAAAGGGTATTTTTGTCAGTACACTTAATTTTTATGACAGAAATAACGGAAATTCAGATGGAATGGGATTTAGTGATACGCGTCAAAATTCAAGGGAGTAGAGTGTTATTATTTTTTTTCAAACTTAAATTAGGCCAAACCTCATGGGAAGTCAGTGTACTTTACCCTATAGTTAATTGGCACAAATTGGAGGAAATACTCCTGTTGTCCCTAGTCTAGAAGTCAATATTAAATCTAGAATTGCCTTTTCTGCCCTTAATCACTGGACTATATCCTTATAAAAAATTACCCTGTTATGAGAAAATGAATGAACTATAACCATTTGAAACATGTGGAAACAAAACTGCGTAGAGAGATTCGATCTATTCTTCACTACTTGTTCCAATTTGCTTCTCCTTCACTCCCTAGATCTGGCAGTTTGTTATTTGTTCCAATTTGCTTCTCCTTCACTCCCTAGATCTCGTAGTTTGTGGCTCAAGCATAACCAGTGATTGAGCAGCTTTCTTCAAGGCATACCAAAGATAAAGTTCATGTATCACTACTCTAGGCAGTCTTCTGTATCCTCAGCTCACCTGAGAAAACAGGAACCCCCTGTTCTGTTCTCCCTTTGGTGCCTGGGTGCTTAAAGAGGTTAGTAACAATGTTAGCCTTCTATCCTTCAGTGGTCAGGTTACTGATGCTATCAGTTTGGTGAGGTCCTATATTTTTTCTTATAATCAAAATGCTTTGTTTACTCACACCATACAACTCTATAGGCTATCTCCATGAATTTTTACCTCTTTCAATCAAAAACAGATTAGGATATTAGGTAGAAAAAAATCCCCTTTGAAAAATTCATCAATAAAAATTATTACAAAACTCGTTCACCATTCCCTAGTAATGCTAAGACTGTATCCTAGAATCTCAATAATACACTTCCATCAACGGCCTGGCAAACTTTCTAATTCCAAACAAGCATGCCTCACCCTTTAACAGGTAGAAGGAGAGTCAATTTTTCTTTACAGCTAGAGTGGTGAATTTTCAAAACTAAATACTTTTTAGGTTAATATTAGCTGGCAACTTCCGATCTTTGGCAGTAGCTGCACGCATTATGATTCCCTTTCAATATATCCACTTAAATATCCTGTAGAACTCATGAACTTTCTCAATACTTATTAAGGTTTATTTGCTCTGATTTATTCAGATCAACGATTATATTTATGCAGTCGGTAAGCCTTTGTGAACCTTGAGACCCAGGTACACTGGAACTAGTTTAGAATATAAGAATTATTAAAATTCTTACCTTTTCTCTAGGAATACCAACAACTGATGCAACATACTCAGCAGTACTCTTTTTGTCCCCAGATAGCATGTATATACTTATTCCTTGCTTAGACAAACATTCCACAACATGCCTAGCATCTTCTCTGATCTGATCCTCAACATAAATAAAACCAACCAGCGTACTATCCACTCCCACATAAACAATTGATTGATTCTTATGCTCCTCCAGTTCTTGAAATGGATTCTCATCAGCTCCATGCCTGCAGGGGAGTTAAATATAAGAGAATAACAACCATGCAAGTTGTTACTTGCTGAGAAGACAACAGAAGATATAGAGAGAAGAAAGACTCCATATGGTACCTAAAGAGTCTGAAGAAGTCTGTGATATGGTCAACAGAGATATAATATGGTGGTTTTAAAAAAGAAAGAATTCATAAATAGATATAGTAACACGATAAAAAGACATGTAATGGGGTAACTATACTTGGATCCACTAAGAGAGAAACGAGACAATTACAAATTAATGTAGGGATATATCAAGGATTAACATTAAGTTCATATTTTGACACTTTAGTTATTGATAAACTAACTAAACATATTCATGATGAGTTTCCTTGGTGCATTTTATTTGCTTATGATAAATGAAACTAGAGAAAGGATAGGCGTTAAATTAGTGATTTAAAGAGAAGCACCAAATTTTATTTATTTATTATTTTTTTTAAAAAAAAAGGGGTAGGTGCTAAATTATAGATCTAGAGAGAAGCTTTAGAATTAAAGAATTCACTTCGTGTATGGAAAAGATCAAAGCTTAAAAGATACCAAAAAGTAAGAGTGCGACTCAGGTGGTTCTGCAAGTTGAGAGATTAACCTGAGCCCAACACAAGGCATAAAAACCCTCAACTAACCATGAGCCAAACTTGTTTTCCTAGGATTAAGCTTGTATTAGGCTCATGTTGGTCAGGTGTGGATCAAACTGAACTCAGGTTGGCTCTAATTACTAATATTTTAATAGTAATACTAGCAATAATAATATAAGGTAAGGCTTGGTTTACTCAACACCTCTGCAAAAACACAACTTGGGTTTAGTACGAGTTGACCATTTTAACCCAAGAACAATCAGAACAAAGACAGAGTTAGGCTAAAATTGGCCCGCCAAAGTTGAACTCTCACCAAAGCTGAACAATTTCTTTTGGTGAACTCTATTGTTCACAAGAAAATGGAGAAGATGTGAATCATAAAATAAAACCATGGTGAGTTAAGAGGAGAAATGATTCGCTCATACTTTGCAGTCAATGTAAATCTTTAAAATGTAAAGGTAATTTATATAAAATAGTTATTAGTAGCAATACTTCGTGAGACAAAATGTTGAATATTTAAGAAACAACATATACATAATTAGCGTAGCTGATATGAGAATGTTGAGATGGATGTGGCAAGGAAAACGACATAAAATTAGAAATGGACACATATCTCAAACAGTTAAAGAATCTGTCACAGATAAATTGAGACGAAAAAGATTAAGATGGTCTAGCCATGTTCAGTGAAGACCACAATTGTACCAGTAAGAAAGAGTCATGTTACCCATATTAAGGGTAATACTAGGAGAAGGGATAGCTATCATTTGATGAGATAGTAAGGAAATATGAGATAGCATGTGGTTCAACAGAGGTTTTTGCCTTAAATAGAGCAGAATCACTCAAAAAAAAAAAAAAAATAAGAGTTTATATAACCAACCACAAATAATTGGGAAACTCCTTTTGTTAAGCTGGAGGGGGAAATGAACTTCGAATGCAGCACAAAAACTCAGAAGTAAAATTAACATGTCAACTAAAATGGCAGTATGACTACATACCTTCGAACCCAGTCCAGTGTCCCAACAGATACCTTTTTATTCTCAATACTTCCTACTGCCCCAAACCCAGGTTCCTCAGTGAATGTTCCATCTGCTACCTGCAACGAAAATTTATTATGTAACCAATCAAACAATTATATGATATCATCGTCACAAAATGATGACTAGATTATGCAGTATGCAACCAGAGGACCACTCTAGAACTGAATTCAATCATGGAAATGCAGCTAATTATATAACAACGAAATCTCTATTCATGTAATATAAGCTAATAGTCTCATAAAAAATAAAAATAAAAACTAATCAGTTGGGGGGACACGGGTGAGAGCATTTCTATATTATGTCTAGAAATGTGTACACTAAAGCTTGCACTATTATATATTTTCCAGAGTTTTATTGCGGGATTAACCACAGCAGAACACAAAACAGGACAAGTGTGCCTTTTTGGACCTTTCTTCAAGCAAAACAACATATTTGCTAAAGCTGGTGCGGTTACTAGTACTCCCTCCGTCCCAAAATAAGTGTCCCACCTTTCCATTTTTATCCATCCCAAAATAAGTGTCCCATTTGAAAGGTCAATGTACTATTTTTTGTAATATTACCAATTTAACCTTCTTGCATTAAAAAGTAAACCATCACATCATTGTGAAGCCACTAAGGGTAAATTTGGTAATTCATTCACTACTAATACAATAAAAAAATAATAAAAATCATTCTCTAAAAAAGTTAGATTCCCAAAAAGGGACACTTATTTTGGGACGGAAGAAATATTTATCAAGGTCTAATGCAGCGTTTATGTTAAAACTGCCCCAAATATACCAATATCATCATTTCAGGAAGCCAAGGCAATCAAAACTGCAATTACCATCCCAGCATCTCTGAACAACCAAATATGGATCCTGGTCAGATAAATTGCATGTTAGATTTCAGAGCCCATAACTCCGTATTATTCCAGGAAATCAGGTCTTATAACCATTAAATTAATACATTACACCAAATATCGAATGCTTGGCCATGTCCTCACAGACTGTAAGCAAAGTTATGAACTCCAATCAACAAATCGTATTTATCAGTCATTTTGGGTAGGGAAAGGAACCAAAGCCTCTTTCCAGACCCATTACTAAACTTAGATTCCCTATAAAAGACTATGGAGTGACAAGTGATGAACACTTTGTATCTAGTAAAACTTTTCAAAAAAGTACAATTGTTACATAATGGTTAGCCAAAGACAACATAGTAACAAATGGACCAAAGAATACATTGACCATGAATACAATTATTACACAAGCATTTTTATATTCAGATTTAAATCTACCAGAGGACGTTGACAGAATATTTAACAGTGTCACTCCAAAAAACAAAAAAGAAATTCATAACCTAGCTGTTAAGACGTTGCAGTGATGTGGCCATTTAAGCTTTTCAATGCAAACTTGTGTATATTTTGGTATGCAGATGAAAAACATCATCAAACATCAAAATGATTTTACCGCAAAAAAAAAACAAATAAAAGCTGCTAGACAGAAGCCAAAGGTGCAACAATCAACTATTTTCACAATGCAATGCAATTGAAAAAGATAAAATATTCATTGTGTGGATTTGCACACTTTACATTCAAAGGAAGGTAGTTGACAAAAGAGGACAGTCACCAATCCAGTGAAGTTACCTTCCCAATGGGACAATTAGCAGCACGAGCGGCTTCCACGATTGCTTTCCCAATTGGATGGTTTGTATTCAATTCAACTCCAGCAGCCAACTGTAGAACCTCAACTTCTGACCAATTACAATTTGAATTTAGTCTGCATCAAAGTTAAGTTTATTAGTACCTTGAGGGCAAAATTTAGCAACCAACGGACAGCAAACTACAACAGAAGTTAACTGATAAAAGTACATCTTGTGACCCCACAATATTACGCTTCATAGCATTTAAGTATAAACTATATGCAATAATTTATATGCCCCTCATAAAAACTAAACATTGTCTATTGCTATATTTAATGCCAGAAAACCATGAATTTTAACTTCTAGGAAGTTTATAGTTAGTAAATGCAATGCAAAATAGACTTGCAGTAAAGATAATTAAAACACATGGAGAAACAACCCTTCTGATATGCATGCAGGGATGAACAAAATTTAATCAAGAGCGCGTAAGACAAGTGAAAATTTTAATAACCATTTGTGCATTACAAAATCGAGACAACTGGATTTAAAGTCAGTCCAGTGATTTTCATCCATGCCCAAAATTATTGGAATGCTGTTGTCCAAAGTTCACAGCTAACTAATTTTTATTAAGATTTTGTTCATAAATTAGACACTGACTATATCTAATTAAGTAGATATTTGACATGCATGACAAGCACAATACAAACGTGATCCAACAATTATCTTGGCATAACATGACTCCAAAAAAGAAAAGAAAAAAATTTAATAAGGAGTATAGAAGAATTATTCTTACACCATGACTAGTTGACCCAGAATTGATTCAAATAAAAGCTAAACTTAAAATCATCGATAAAGCAACTTTAACATAAATTCTAATAACAACGATTCAGTAGAAAAAGGAATTTTCTGTCTCCACTCAACTCTGATTTTGTATCTTTCTTGAGCTCTTGTGTCACGACCTTTGTCACAACAGGTCTACCAATTGTTAATGTCCCTGTTTTGTCAAACACAATTGTGTTCACCATTGAAAATTTCTCTAAGATATGTCCACCACGTAAAAGTAATCCTCTTGTAGCCCCCAATGAAGTTCCAACCTAGAAAATTTAAGTGTAAATATAATACAGACCATATCAATCTTTCATAGAGTTCAAAAAAAATTTTACCAGCACAGCAGTAGGAGTTGCTAAGCCAAGTGCACACGGACAAGCAACAACCTATGTTCAAAAAACAGAGATTAACTACTTCCAAAAATCAGGTGAACATTTAACCACATTACAAAAGAAAAATGACAAGCAAGCAAAACAAATGAAGAACAACATAATATGGTCTTCATTCTTGACAAGAAGATTACTCTATAACAATATATCATATGTCAACTAAATCAATAATTTCTCCTTGAGATGTCTAAATTTAAAATTACCAACATATTTTTTAATTTAACTGACACATTGCCTTGGCCACCTAGTTATCATTTTTGTCCAAAGAAATCAGTCATGAACTTTAAATATCAAGAGGATATGTATTAGATAATCCATCTATATCAAACTACTGAAACAGTAGTGCAGCTTAAGATGACATAGTAGATGATAATGAGCTAATATATTAGAAATTGATTGATTCAAAGCTTTTATATTTCTTTCAGTTTATCCAACTATAAAAATTCACACATGCGCAGACACACACAAAAGCATCTTGAAAAACCAATTTCAAGGAGAAATATTCAACCTTTAGGTCCAAGCCCTTGAACAAAAAAGGGGGTCTTTTTGTTTCACAAAAACTATTTCAGAATGATACAGGTCTGAAAATTGGCATAAATATATAAGCTTTCTTTTGAGGCTGTGAAGATGTAAATATAGGAAAAAATCACATTGAATTTAACATTGGATGTCTAGAAGATGTCCTCTCTATTCATTCTTTAGTAGATCTTATGGAAAAAAAAAATAATAATTCTTACATAGGGAAGTCTAGGTATGTTGCTCTTGTGCGTGTAAATGAGTTCTGACCCTTCTGGAGCTTTTTCCTTTATATCTTTCTTCTTTACATATTTAAAGAAGTTTTAAATCATAATTGGTAAAATCCCGACAGGGGAACCTACAAGCCTATAATATATTACAATCCAAATATATCAAATCAATCCGGATCACCAAAAAATCCAGAAAGGTTGATCCTTGTCGAACGTTTCTCGGCAAGATCATATGGCACTGTAAAGTTTAAGAAAGCCTTGGAGATTTCAATATCAAAGATAGACCCTTATTGAATATAATATGTATAATGAACGCATTTGGAAACGGATGAAACTGGGACGCTCTCCTAAACTTTTTAGAGGCATATGATCTTATAGTAATGACTACCTATTTCAAAAAGACAGATTGACATCTAATATAAACATTAAAAGGCAATTAACATGAGTTGAATTAACTTTCTCCTTAAAGAATGGGCATGTAAAGATTATATGGTTAAGGAGAGACCTTAACATTGAAGCACAGTCGCGGGGGGGTTGGGCGGCTTGAGCTAGGTGGTGGAAGGCAATTAACATGAGTTGACTTAACTTTCTCCTTAAAGAATGGACATGTAAAGATTATATGGTTCAGGAGAGACCTTAACATTGAAGAACAGTCGCGGCCGGGGCCGGGGGGCGGGATGAAATAGAATATTTCAAAATATATTAAAATAAATAATATTAAACTTACAAGATGAAACTAATTTAATGAGTATGGTGGTCCAATGCAATTTATAAACAAAAACAAATAAGTGCTTGAAGAATCAAAAAGGAAAGGGCCTTTATCTAAGATTTGCAAAAAAAATAAAAATTAAGAAAGTTTTAAGAGGCATGATGTCATGACCCACCCTCATCCGCTTTGCACACTCTCCTATCGATGCTCATGGTTTTCCTCAAAACACGTCTACATGGTTAAGGAGTGTCCACATATATAAGCGTCATCAAACCTCTCTCCCCAAGCGATGTGGGATGTCACAATCACCCCTCTTGGGACCCAGCGTCCTCGTTGGCCCAACTCTCATGGGCTTGTGCACGCTCCCCCATTTCCGGCTAGGGTAGAGCTCTGATATAATCCGTCACAACCCAACCCCACCCCCCGTGAAAATATTGTCCATTTTGCACACTTCTCCCGGTGCTCACGGTTTTTCTCAAAATGCGTCTACATGGTTAAGGAATGTCCAGACATATTATAAGCTCATGCCCGTGAGTGTTGGACAGTGGTTCCCCTTTGTGTCTGGTGGTGCCTATGGAAGGAATGGAATAGAAGATCTTTTGAAGGGGAGGAATCTTCTTTAGGAGCCTTGAAGTTTCATATTATTAGCTCTCTTTTAGTTGGGTTTTGGGGAGAAATTGTACATCCATTGATGAGTTTATTGATTTTTTGGGTTTGGTGGGTTCTTAGGACCTTGTCTCTGGCTTTGGCCTCTGTATAGCTCTTGGGACGCGTTCCCCATTTGAACGCTTTCTAATACATTTTACTTATAAAAAAAAAAAGGGTGTCCACACATATAAGCTTCATCAAATCTGTACCCTTAGGCAATGTGAGAGGTCACTTGTTAAATATATATATATATATATATGTTTTTTTGATAAGTAAGAGGTGTTAAATATATCAAATACAAAAAACTTTACTCAAGATCAGGTAAGCCCATCTGTCTGCCTTAATTATGGGTGTGATTACAAAAAAAAACAAATATATAAATAAATAAAATAAAAATCAAATAAGATTCCATGGTATATGCTATTTGATAATATAATATTTATTGATGAAACTAAAGCAAGGATAACTGCTACATTAGAAGCTTGAAGAGACTCTAAAATCAGGAATGTAATCATAAGCAGGATAACAGAAGGAAAAAAAAAAATTCATAAGTAGGATAAAGATGAATATATATTGGTCCTGAAACAGCTTCAGAATATCATACCAGAACACTGCAAGAGAGCTGTAGCGCCACTGAAAGACTTCCTTGATGAAGAGCGGCTGGTAGAATCCGTGCACCAAACAGGTTCCAGAACATAAATGTGGCAGCGGAGAGTGATATTACTCCATAAGTGAAGTGCCCGGCCACCTATTTAAACAAAAGCAAAGTTGTCAAAAGGTGATGTACATTCAAGCAAATATACACAAGTAAACAACACATTAAGGAAGTTGGCTAATTATAACAAAGCAAGTGCTTCTTAAAAAGCTTTTTCCTTCCATGATGTTATTCAATACAAGATTGCTCTTTAAATATTCTGCAGAAAATAGGCAGCTAAAGTTAATATAAAAAACAAATTAATTTCTACCATACCCTTATGTTCTGTGGCGAACACAATGACACGAAGATACATTTAGATTGAAAAGGATAACTTTCCAATCACAATCACCAGAAAGATAGTGAACAATTGACAGCAAACCCTTCATTCTCAGAAGGGAATTTTAGCCTTTTCATTATTTTTGATATGATATTAAGAGCACCTACTCTGAGTAAGCTGTCTCATTCTTTCTTCCCTTTTCCCCATTATCTGTGAGATCCAAACACAAATGGTCCAATCTATGAGAAATTATGTGAGATCTGTAAGGTCATTATGATTTCTTACAGCACAGGGAACTGTTAATATACACAATCAGGATTATTATTTACTCTTTTGCGTAAAGCATATGAAATATATACTTTTAATGCTCTAACTGTAGGAGTGTGGATTTGTGTCCATAATATAATTAAATTCTGAGTAAATACTACACCAACTTTTTTAAATTAACCACACCAGCTTACTAATACTGCTAATATACCCCATTTACTATAAATGTTTCAGGCCTACCTTTTGTCTTTCTAGAACCTATAAACACAAATAATATCTCTTCATCCAATAAATTAATTCATCTCCACTACAGTACACATTGTTGAACAGTCTGAGAGGACTTACCTCATCTAAAAAAAATATTCAAAAAAAAAAAAAGTGACACATAGTGAAGGTAAATGAAAGATAAACGTGAAGGATATGAGAAGGAGATGAGGTGTAAAAACTTTGTGACTATGCATGTGGTGTGTTTGTTATCATATCCTTGTGTCTATTCCTTTTACAAATTACAATTTTGAGGTATCTGTATCAAATCAAAGTCCACGGGCTAACCCACGTGTCCGTGTCCATGTCCAACTGTCCATGCAACATAATAGCCTAGAAGAAACAAGAAGGGAAAACTCTTCATGTAATCAAGTTTTTTTAACTGAAAATAATTTCAGTAACCATAATGTCGATTTTCTAAAAATAATTTGCGCATTTTGTATCCGAAAACTAAAATTCTTAAATCATGCTGTGTGCATTGATGGAAAATAGATATGAGCCAAGAGATGATTAACCGAACAGTAGAATTGAAAGATACAAGGAATTGCTGATCTTAATAGCAAGAGACTCAGAATAAGCAAGCCTTTGCATAAGATTCAAAGGAATGTATCAGATGTTGTGATAGAATTAAGCATGTATAACCCAAACAACATAAAATCGTTATACAGCTATCTAACATTATTGCAGATGTAATTTGGTAAAGACAATCTGTGCGGCATCAATTGCGGTAAGTATATCAATTTGCCAAAGTGATTGTTACCTTGTCAGCCAACCGCTGTACAGGTGCTTCTCTACTCTGCGCTTCTTCTACTAAACGAACGATGTCTCCCATGGTAGTCTCGCCACCAGGTCTTTGTACTTCCACAGTAAGTGTTCCATTTAGGTTTATACTTCCTGCTGCAACGTCAGCCTAGTAAAGACATGCAATTCACTATATAGTATGACAATAGACAATAAGAAAATAATTTTTAAAAACCAGTAAAAATGTCGTAAACATGACCCCCACCCCATCCCAATAAACAAACAATGAAGAGACAGAGACAGAGACAGAGAGGAAAAAATCATTTTGAAGAAGCATAATCACCCAACATCGTTATCGGATTCCATATAAAATTTTAAACCTTGTTGATTTAAAAAAAAAAAACATCCTTATTTATTACCCCAAAAAATAACAACTAAAAAATAAGTGAATAAAATTAGACACGAAAGGATTATTACCCCAGGTAGTTTGGTCACAGGAAGAGGCTCCCCAGTGAAACTTGACTCGTCGACCGCACTTATCCCAGCTCTGACAATTCCATCAGCTGGAATACGGTCCTAAACAATTTTGGGGAGGAGGATCATGTATCAAAGAATGCATACCAAGATTCAAAAATAGAATATGATTCAGTGTCATACAAGCATTTTAAACTGGAGCTAAGCTATAGTTGGCAGCAGCTTGAACCTTCTATTGTACCAAAAATGGTTACAGAACAAGTACTCATGGCATTAAAAGTAAGACATTAAACTAGGAAGTTTGATTTAAAGTTCCAACAGAGCCTGAACCTAAAAGAGCATTAAAACTTAAAGAAGACTCCGGGCAAGAAAAAAAGAGGTCACTGTTCTGAATTTGTACCATTTATGCAGGATACTAGGACAACTGGACTGGTAGAGACCAAGGTTGTTGAGATCAGGAGATCAATGTCTTTAAAACTGAATACTAGGATCTGTGGTAGAATTATTTGAAAAATAGAAAATAATACCTAACAATATTGGGTGTATAATAAGAATTCTTAAAAATACACCTTGAACAAGCCCTCATGAAAAAATATAAAGGAATTAAAACTGGAGCACGCTAACTCTCTATAATAAATTATTTGTGTAAAAAAATTGTAGGATTACAAAGCATTCGACCCTACTAGAATTTTTTATAGGATCGGGATTGATTCACTGTTAGATCGTACGATCTGAATTACCATCCACAGTATAGACCTGATTTCAGCATCAGTTTCGTGCAGTGGATATTGTCAAGACTTCATGCAATTATAGATCTTTAGAGGAGATTGTAGATTTTTTGGACTCTTTGAGAGTTTAGAGGCCCTATTTGGACTTGTGTGGATGTGTTCCCCTTTCGAGCATTTTTTTATACAATTTTACTTATCAAAAATAAAAAAATTATATAAAAATAAAAGACTTCATGCAAGGTAAGCATAACAGAAGGTATACCCAAAAAACACAGACAAGGTTAATTTTACTCACTCCAGGTAGTATAACAATTTTATCTCCGACTGAGAGACTGTTACAAGGAACTTCAACAGTTGAGCAAGACTCTTCTGCATCGCCATTGACCACAAGACGAGCTTTGGATGGCAAAACACTTAGAAGGCCTGTCATGTCACTGGAGGCTTTGATTTTAGCTCTCTGTTCAAGATTCCTCCCCAACAAAACAAATGCAATTAACATAACTGGCTCCTCAAAGAATGCTTTCCAACCCTGCATGAAAAACAAATAAACTCAACAGGAGTATTAATCAATTGATTGAGTCATTCAGATGCTTTCTCCCCAGTATTGGGGTAGTTAACACTCTTTGAGGCTGCACCCTCAAATTTAGAAGGAAGAATGTGTACTATAATCAAGAACCAAGAAATATTAACTGGAGTGCTCTATATATATAGATATCCTCTCTCCAACACATAATATGAGAAGTGTAAGGTATATGAGTCATGTTTTGGCATATTCTTACTCAAAACTTATGTTGTAAACTTGTAATATGAGAAGTGTAAGGTATATGAGTCATGTTTTGGCATATTCTTACTCAAAACTTATGTTGTAAACTTGTAATGTGTCAAAGTGTCTTGTCATTTGAGTACATCTTCTGAAGACATGACTACCACAGAATTGCAAAGAATATAAGGAAATTAACATCCTCGATCACATTCCTAGGGCAGAGGTAAATTGACCTTAGGAAGACCTAAATTGACTTTGTTTGATTTTAATGAGGCTCAGAAATTTGATTTATAAGTGTTCTCGGAAAATGGACTTTTAAGATTTAATATTTTAAATACTCTTCGAAAACATGGTTCAAACTGGTCAACAGTGTGCATCGATCTAATGATTCATCAATCGGTATATGTCCACCAGACATCTGTCAAATGACTGATCAATTGAGTTTTTGCAGAAAATTATTTTTGAAAAAACAGCGTGCCTCAATTAAAGCATCGATCAACGGTTGTCCAGTAGTCTTCGATCGAAGGTTGGATCGATCGAACGTGACTGATTCTTTTTTACAAACTCTCTCAAAACATTTTTTTACAAGGATATTACTTAATAAAATGTATGGGCTACCTTTGTTAGTTATAAATAGGGTTATAATCAGTCCAAGAATGAGCTTGAAGTCTCTAATAATCTAAAGAGAGAGAATCCTTGTGAGAGAATGAGAATTACTCATTCTAGGGTTTCCATAGAAAACAATATATATGATTGAGTGTTCATCAAAGAGGAGTTTATCAATCCGATCCAATTCAACCGATCAAGTGTTAGAGCCGAAAGAGGGAGCAATCACTAGAGAAGCGAATTTGTGAGGAAGCAAAGTCTATTGATGAGCAGATGGATGGCCTTGAGACTTTTCGTGGAAAGTTTGGCACCATTCTGTATCAAGAGGTAACTGGGGGTTCTAGGGTGAGCGAACTGCTAAACTGGATTTAAACTCTTTCCCATATAGTGGATTGTGCCTGCCTGTAGTATGTCTCGTTGTTTTTCCCAGTTGAGGTTTTTCACGAAAAAATCTTGTCTCTGTCTTCTCTACTTTTCTTTCCATTTATGCATTATTGTGATTGATGAAAACTGATAATCTACATATATAAACTATAATTAACAAATCAACCATCACAACAAACCAACTAAATTTCAAATAAGGATCAACGGAAAGTTAACTGGAAAATAATATCCATAAGACTACTCCCCTCCTCCTGGAAAAAAAGTTCTAAATCACCACTCTTACTCTGTCGTACCAGAGCGCTAATGCTAAACATTCTTATCAAGAAGACTAAAGTAAACATGTTGCATAATAAGTAGTTGAATTATCATGCCTGAGCACCATATCTTCCAGCACAAAAAAGCAATTGAGATACTTATTGAAACTCCAAATTTATAAGTGCTGACACCAGATGGCAAAACTTCACATTAAATCACAAATATTTATCGAAAAAAGAAATCAGAAGATGCCAACTTATCTGAAACATACTAACTATTACTAAGTCAAACTTCACTCTTGAACACTATAAAATCTGGTATTAATTTTAATGTTAAGTATGGTCGTCAGTTATCAATTTTTAGCTAACTGTAGTTTTACATAATCTAGAAATGTAGTTTTAGCTAAAAATGGGAAGCCACACAATTATTGTATGTGAGAAATATAACAATCCAGCATACTCTCAGACATTGTGCATATACAAACTACCAATATATCTGAAATGTCAAAATCCAATATGAGCAAGATTGCCAATAGCATGAAGCATGCAATGAAACTATAGTCAAATCAATAAAACATCACAGCAACTTTTAGAAGCAAATTTTTTTACAAAAAACTGAAGTCTCGCACAGAGATAAGGAAAAAGTACAGAGAATGAACGATGAGAAATATCAACCATATTCTTGTCAACCAGAATTGCTTTGCATATTCAAAACACACACACAAGTATCAAAAAAGCACCAATAAAAAATCTTTCATATATTATACATATTTGTATTCTTTAAATAGGAACTGGAAGCATAAGGGACTAGATTACAAGTTACCAGTTTTGGTATGAAGGCAGCTAATGAGCTGACACCAAACGATGACAAAGCCCCAAGACCGACCAAAGTATTCATATTTGGAGCCCCCTTAATGAGGCTTTTCAGACCATCAACAATGAGTTGGCGTCCAGGACCAAGCAATGTAAACAGGCACAAAGAAAGATGGAAACCTGTTGAATGAAATGCATGGATCCATGAAGCCTTAGCACCAAAGAAATGAGAAAGATGGCCAAAGAGGCATACAGCACATAAAGCCCAAGAGACAGCAAGCTCACGACCTGTTAAACATGTGAGTCGTTAATCTAATCGCAGAGCAGATTTCTCATCAGCAAATTGGCATTAAAAATGCAATATACAAAGGGAAATCCCAAAAAAAATAAAGAACAAACACTTCATTGTAAATAATGAAGCAAAGGAAGATGTTTACCACTTCCTTTTAGCTGATTACGCTTTTCTTCCATCTTCCTTTCAAATACTTCAAAGAAGTTATTTCGCGTAGGATCTGCAGATAAACAAGTACCCTAGTTACTATTATTAATAACGCAAAGATGGCATAATTACATTCCATCCAAGGTCATAAGTTCTAACTTTGCATTAGAAATTGGCGTACTAAAAAATGGAGCTAATGTGTAGAAGTTTAGAGAAAATAAAACATCAGGCACAGAAGGTTAGCAATTACATAGAATTTATTTGCAGACCTATTGGTAAATCTCAAAAAGTATGAAGACAATGTTTTAATCCCAAAATTTACTCTATGCAAGAATGTGATGTTGTGGCCTGAATTTGGTGCCAATGTGACCCGTTTACGACCCAGCACTGCCCCAGAGGAAAATTTTTGACCCAGTTTTTTGCTTTCAGGTCGTGGACCCTATTTAGTACTCTCTTGTAGCCCGATATAGAAGGGTGTTTAGGGTCTGGAGTGGGAAAAAAGAGAGTGAGAGTGAGAGCTAGGGTTTGGGCGCTGAAACTTGAAATCTCCAGATTTTCACATAGTGAATTCTTTTGCCGGATCTTCAGTGTGGACATGCCTGCCGAACCATGTTAAATATTTTTGCTCTTTGTGTGTGACATGTTTGTTTTCTGTTTTCTGGGTTGTTTCTTGGGTTCGCTGCCTTTGTCGCAACAATGAAAAATATATGTTCCATGCATTGATTTATGATCTATAAACCTATTCAAGAACAATGGTGAATTGTGCTTATGAGTAGACGATAGAAATATGTAACAGAGACAAATTGGATTATAAAAAAAATATATAAATAAACCAAAAAGAAGAAGAAAAGGGAAAGGAAAAGGAAAAGAATTCCAAGTATCAAGGGCAAGCAAAAGACCATGTTCATTAAATGCCGGTGTTCTCAATAAAAGGAGACCTCAAAATGTGGAGGTTTCTTTCAGAGACTACCATCCTCCTTAGTGTTGTTTCAATGGCAGTCTCTTGTCTTGCTTCCCAATACTTCAAGCTTAGCATCAAGAAGAAAGTTACCGATATTCCGTACATTTGGAATCAGTATTTCAGTTAAATACAAATATTGATGTTTTATCAAAAAAAAAAAAATACAAATATTGATGTCACGACTATAGTAATTCTTGAAATAAAGATTTATACGTGGAAGTATCAGCTCCAGGGCTAACAAACAAGCAGGACTAATATAAGCAATGGCATATTTGAGAAACTTGTACAGACACATGAAAGAATCTCTCCTGCATATTTCAAACATCCAAGCATAAGTATTCGAGATCATGCAACATAAATCTACGATTGTCTTGCTCAACATTAAGCACAAACGTTAGGAGGAATCTTATTAATAAAATCACAAACAGTATAAGTTGAATTTCTTCAGCTGAAAGAAGAGGATTCTAGGGTTGAAATTTATTAAAAGAATTTCATAAATTTCCATCGAAAAAATCAATTGCTAAATATTAATGCCTCATCTCTATATGTTCTACAGATAGTCAGATACATAAAAATTTGCTAGAAAAGAACTTCATTCAGAATTTCAGTGTGACGATCATATGTTAATGAACATAAGGATATTTCTAAACATTAGATGAAATAGTAATAAAAACCTAACTATTGATTACGGATTTGCAAACAAATTAATAGATTTTCAGATACCTCATTGGACATTGCGTGACTAATAAATCACACGGACCATAATGCTTACTATAAATGATAGTATGCATTTAGATCTCACATCACTATATGCAAAACAAGACTATAAATCATAGTATGAAATACCATAGCCATGCCTTTAACAACTATGTTTATAATTCATAGACTATCAAGGTCTTTTGGGCCATAGCCTAGCCTTTAACAACTATGTTTATAATTCAAAGACTAATCAAGGTCAAAGGTAGATTAAGAATCTTATTTTAAAATGTTCCACTTAAATGAATTTCAATTACAGTAGTAAAAATAATTCAGTTGCTGTTAAATGATCAATCTTCATAGCTATCAATGGTTTACTCTACACAGCAAAATGTTTGCAAGAAACCTCAACAAAAAATTAGTAAACCATAACAATATAATAAAAAATAAAAAATAAATAAAAATGAAAGGCAGATACCAATAAATCATATAAATGTAAGATGAAATAATTGATGTATAAGAGTAATGTTCATTAAACAGAAGAATAACTAGCAGTTACTACTGTGAGGAATGTGAAACCCAAAAAGTTGCAAGACCATACATAGGCAGATAACAATTTTGCTTAACTGGAAGGTTTAAACAAAAAATTTGCATAGTTTATCAGTTATACAAGTTATTCATTAACGGAATGTGCTGAATAGAAAATCTCTGCAAGAAGATAATATATTAAATCTTTCTTCAAGATCAGTAAAGTTTAAGCAAGACAACCAAAAACAAGTACAAAAAAAGGAAAAGATTCAACATGACCATCATTCAACTGATACAAGCCAATGTAACTGTTAACAATCATACACATGAAAACCAGTAGAGTACACTATTTGACAAACTGACAACATCAATTGAAAGATGATAAAAAAACGAATTGCTTCAACAACTCAGGGTGCGCAAGAAAAAGTTATCCAAAATGAGTGGCTCAGCTCTCTCCAACAAATCCGCCATTAGTTGCCGCAGAGTCACCTATTGACGGAGAAACTCTTTCATTAAACGTGATAACCTATTCTTTCGCATCATTTAAAGGATGCTGCTTAAATTCACGTCTCTCTAAAATAGAAAACTCAATGGATTAGGTACATACCCTAAAGGAGTATGGTAGCTTCTTACAAGAAATCCTTTACGTTTCTATAATGGAGTATCTCCTTCGAAAGCTTCCTGACCTGCCAATTACCCACCGAGCTTCACATAAGTCGTATGAAAGCCTGAATTAAATGTGTTGTCTACTCTAATCAAGAATTCAGACAAGGTTCTTAACAGACTACAGAGTATTATATTATTATGATTTTTTTCTTTTTCTTTTTTTCATCTTGTTGAAAACAAGGTCTGACCTCATTTCTTTATCTAATCTAATAAAGGTTATTATTACATTTATACGCTTTATGGTTTGTGCTCCTTTTTTCCCCAGCAAGAATGCCATCATGGTAAAGCAAAAGAACAAGAAATAGAAATGAAATCACCAAGCTTTTTGTGTTCTCCAACTAGCCAGCTTCTCACAAAATGAGGCAAAAATTGCCTGCATGGTGGAAGCAGCTGGAAAAAGCTGAGGCAACATCATAAGTATGGGATAAGTGGATAACTGTTAATGCTATGTAAAAAACAAAAAAAATAATTAATCAGCTCTGATGCTCCTTTAACCATCTACAACCCTCCATTGGTATTATCACTTAAGCACACCGAATTCATACACATGACAATATATTATTGCCGAATTTTTCGAAAATTTATACTCACTCTCTCTCTCTCTCTCTTGGACTTCTCTGTTCTTAGTTTTCTCTCCTCTGTTTTCTCTCTCTTCTCGCTTCTCTTCTCCTCTCTTTCCTCTTTTTTTTGGACATTTACTCTCTCTCTCCTCCGTTCCTCTTTTTTCTCTCACCTATTATCTCTCTCCTCTCAGTTTCTCTCTCCTCCGTATTTTCTGTTTCTTTCTCTCCTCTCTTCTCCCTTTCTTTCTCTCTCCTCCGTATTCTCTCTCTTCTCTGTTTTCTTCCCCCTCTGTTTCTCTCTCTTCCCTTTCTCTCTCTTCTATCTCCTCCGTGTTCTCTGTCTCCTGCTTCTTCTTTTTTTTCTCTCTTGTGGCTGTGATAACTCTCTCTCTACCATACTGTTCCTTCAACTTTTTTTTCACTGAATAAAAACAACAAACTAATTTATACCAGACAAAACTCTTTTCTCTAAATATATATAATTCATATTACTAGCAAAGTAAGTTGTACAGTGACTTCCCCACCCCCCCCTCCCCACCCAAAAAAAAAAAAATTAGTAACGCCTGAGACCAAAAAATTTATAATTTTTTTTTTTTTGATAAGCAATAATAAATTAAAAAAGACGTTCAATAGGGGAACGCGTCCCATGGACATTAGAGCGACCAGGGTCCAAGGCCCCAAAGAATCCAAAAAAGAAATTAAATCATCAAAAGAGGAACACGAATTTCTGTTCACATAACTAAAGAGAGAACGAATAATAAAAAGTTTCAGTGTCGCTGTAAACGACTCCTTCTCTTCAAACATTCTACTATTTCTCTCCCTCCAAATGCACCACCAAATACAATGTGGTACAGATCTCCAATAATCACGAAGACTCCTACTCACACGACAACCTCTCCAAGCTTGAATCAGCTCCTTAGTAGAACCTGGCATTACCCAGCACATGCCAAATAGGCCAAGAATAAGATTCCAGCAATCGTGCGCTACAGAGCAATGCATTAGGAAATGATCAACTGACTACCCATCCTGCTTACATATGCAACACCGATTAACAAAATAATTTCCCCTTTTCCTCAAATTATCGATCGTCAGAATCTTTACCCCAAACGGCAGTCCAAACAAGAAATGCCACCCTAGTAGGAGCCATAGAGTGCCATATAGTCTTCCATGGGTAATCATAGGGTGCAAAATTAGACAAACATAAGAACAAAGACCTTACTTCAAAACGACCGTGAGAAGAGGGAATCCAAATCAAGTTGTCATAACCCCTGCCAATTCCTTCCTGCCGATATAATTGATCCAAGAAAATGCTCACCACCTTTAACTCCCAATCCTGAAAAGAACGCCGAAAAAGAACATTCCACGTAATCCCACTATTACCAAGCTGATAATAGTTAGCTACGATGGCATGTTTATTAACTACAATACTATATAATCTGGGAAAAGTACAACATAAAAGCTTATTCCCACACCAAAGATCTTCCTAAAAACGAACGCAACTACCATCACTAACTCTGAATCTAATATGAGAAGAAAAGGCATCCCATCCTTTCCGAATGGATTTCCAAGCCCCAACTCCTCCCGCAATAGAAACCGGACGTGTAGTCCATCCGCCAACGTCATCCCCATACCTGCAAGATACTAATCTACGCCAAGGGCGGTGTCTTTCCTTCCCGTATCTCCACAACCATTTGCCCAGAAGAGCTTGATTAAAAGGAATTAATCATCTAATACCGAGACCCACCAGTTTTATAGGCTTGCAAACTTGCTCCCATCTAACAAGGTGATACTTGAACTCTTCTCCCCTTCCTCCCCAAAGGAAATTCCTTTGAATTTGTTCAATTCTATCAGCAACAAAGCATGGAATTTCGAACATAGAAAGAAAATAAGTGGGAAGGCTTGATAAAGTGCTCTTGATAAGAGTAACTTTACCCCCCCTTTAACAAATATTGGTTCTCCCAACCTGCCAACCTCTTTGCATACCGATCAAGCACAGAATCCCAACTCCCCACTAATCTGGAAGAAGCCCCTAGGGGCAATCCCAAGTAAGGGATAGGAAAGGATTCTCACCCTACACCCAAGAACTACAGCTAGAGAAGAGATGTCCTGTACATTCCCAACCAGGACAAGCACACTCTTGGCCATGTTAACCTTTAGCCCGGAAACTGCCTGAAAGCAAGCCAGAATGCACCTCAAATATCTAAGTTGAGACACATCTGCATCACAAAAAACCAAAATGTCATCTGCAAATAGCAGATGCGAAATCTCCACCTGATTTGCAATATCTCTTCCCACCCGAAATCCCTTGATGAGACCAAGATTCTCTGCCCGGCGCATAAGTCTGCTTAAGCCCTCCATAATAATGAGAAAAAGAAAAGATGACAATGGATCACCTTGTCTTATACCCCGAGAGCACCCGAAGAAACCAGCTAGAAAACCATTCACAAGAATTGAGAACTTAAAAGACGAAAGACATGTCTCAATCCATGTCCTCCACCTACTTCCAAATTCCATTCTTTGAAGCAAGTAGAGAAGGAAATTCCAGTTTACATGATCATAAGCTTTCTCAGTGTCAAGTTTGCACAGAACTCCAGGAACACCATTACGCAACCTTAAATCCACACATTCACCGGCAATAAGAACTGAATCAAGAATTTGCCTTCCTCCAACAAAGGCTTTCTAGGAATCTGAAATAATCCCATCCATAACTTCTCGCATTCTTTGAGCAAGCACCTTAGCTATGAGTTTGTAAATTCAACCCACTAAGCTAATAGGACGAAAATCCTTGATATCTGAAGCGTTTCCCTTCTTAGGGATGAGGGCAATAAATAATGCATTAAGCGATTTCTCAAATACACCAGTAGAATGAAACTCCTGAAAGGTACTCATCACTTCATTTCTCACAACCGCCCAACTTTCCATCAAAAAACGTATAGTAAACCCGTCAGGCCCCGAGGCCATCAAGCTTGGGTCGCCAACCTAAAGGTTCTGTATAAAGCTTCTTATAAAAAGAAACAATCCCGCTACGTACCTCTTCCTCCCTCCACAACTCCACGCCTTCTACCCGTATACGTCCTATGTGATTACTCCTTCTATGGGCATTAGCAAGTCTATGGAAAAAATTTGTATTACGGTCTCCCTCTTTCAGCCAAAGAGCCCGGGATTTTTGTCGCCATGAAATCTCCTCCATACAAGCAATCTCAGCAAGAACTGCCTGACAGGAAGCTCTCCTAGTACAAAGCGACTCCACATTCCCACCCGCCTCCTCTAGCCGATCAATCTCAGAAAAATCAGCAAAGACTCTGTTCTTCCTCCATTCAAGGTTCCCGAAAACATCCTTATTCCACTACTTAAGAGCGAGTTTGAGAGCTCTTAATTTCTGTATTAATATGAAGCTAGGCGCGCCTGTAACGATCGCTCCCTCCCACCATGAACGAATTGTCCCTTGGAAGTCCTCCACTCTCAGCCACATATTCTCAAAACGGAATGGGGTTCTTCGAGAACACAAAACCCCACAATCCAAAACTAAAGGAACATGATCAGAGGTAACCCTTTCTAATACCGCCTGAACAACATCCAGGAATTTTTCTTCCCACTCCCCAGAGATCAAAAGTCTGTCCAATCTTGAGAGGGTAATTGGGTCTCTACCATTAAACCAAGTATAGGTTGCACCTTCCATTGGTAGATCAATGAGAAGGTGTTCATCAATGAAATCAGAAAATTGATCCATGTCTATGATCCAAAAAATTTATAAATTTAATATAAGAAATTTTTTTCTGGTATTCAACAACTAAAATAAATTGATAATTTGTGTCTAAAAACATTTGGGTCATCAGGTTGAATACGGGTTAATCGCACATTTAACACCCAACACATTTATTACCCATCACAAATGGGTGATAATGGGTTATTGACCCATTATTAACTCGCTCATTCATAATCAGCCCAAATCCACCCAAACCCACCTAATTGCCACCCCTACACAATACTGCATACCAAATGCCTCTTAAACTCAAAGCAACAATAACAAGGCCAGGAGAGCTGATATACAAGGTTCTTGTAGAAACTTTTATATGGATTTCCATTACCATAAAATTTCCCTCAAGAAGCAATACTAGAGGTGATTAATAGCTCATTTGATTATTGCTTCTTGAGGGAAATTCTATGGTAATGGAAATCCATATGAAAGTTTCTACAAGAACCTTTTATATGGATTATTTCAAATATGCCAAGAACTTGCATTATTACCAAGCATTTGATATCTACATCTGATAACCATTTTACTGTCATCCTAAATATACTTGTGACAAAGTATTTACATTTGAAGGCTGTTTCAGTCTTGCCCATTCAATATTGATCGTTATATAGCATAAGCAAACAGGAAGAATCCAAGGAAGCACATCACTTTGCCCAGTAGTAAATTGAAAGATAACAATTACAACAACTCCGAAAAGGGCAACAAAGACAAGATGATGATTAAGGCAATGATGATGAATGCAAACAATATAGAAGGCAGCAGAGGTAATCAGAAATTCAGAGGAAAATTCTCACCTCGAAGGTTGGAGTGAAACCCACAACTGGTCAAATGCTTTGCAAGTGTCTCCCCTAAAATTTTTCTCCAGTTTGGTGCAACCTTGGCTTCAGATACAGGCCATATAATTGCTGTCTCTGTTGTAAGATTAACAGATGCAGACGATACTTGTGGCTGTCCATAAATATAAGAAATAGGTGAGTAGCAAACATTACCTATTGTAAGAGTGAAAACTTCTTCCTTAAATCACAGTGAAATTTAAAGGAAGACGATGTGAGCACCGTCAATTAAGCAAAATTACACAAATAAGAACGACTTTAAAGAGACCCAAATGATGCAAGATGTTCCAATGATACAACATCCAATTCGTATTTCAAATTTCCTCTTTTCCAACTTGTTTTTTTCCCCTTCTTTTCTTACATTGTTTTCAGTCAACAAATCGATAATTTATAACAGATATGCAATAATAAGATGAAATGTACGTGCAATACTTACTTGACTTTCCAAAATTCTCTTCACACTTGCTGCACATCCGCCACATGTCATCCCCTGACACACACATGCACATATAGATTAGATTTTAAAGAACCTCTTGTGAAGAAGCAAAAAAATAAAGACATGAATAACATAACCATTCGAAGAGTTGAACAAAGATGTGACAGTAATACAGCTGACCCAAAGAAAAAGAAAGAGAATCGAACAAATTCATGGCAAGAAACAAACCAAGACAGCATAACACGAAATTTTAGGGATAGAAAGAAAAAAAAAAAAGAAGAAAGAAAGAAATACTAGACATTAACGAGAGAGATAAGAAAATGCTTACTCCGACATCAAGAACTATTACATCAGGCGACAGAGCTGAAACCTCTTCGGACCCTACTGCAGTCGGGTTCGACTTAGCTTCCCCACCGTCTGACGCACCATCACCATCGCCGCCGCCTCTTCCTCCAATTCCTCCGTCGCCGCCGCCAGCACCAGAAGCAAACGAAGCAGCGGAGCTCGCAACACAACCCAAGCGACACCTACCTGGAGGCACTTGCACTGCACACAAACTCCTAAGGGAATTTGACGAACAAGAAATTGAACCGAACACATTCGATCTGCGAAACTCGCCGTTGAAAATGCGTCTGAGTTGAAGAGATACGAGTCGAGTACGGAGACATTGAGTCGGGCGAGTGGTGGAGAAATGGCGGTGGAGATGAGAGATGAGAGGATTGGAATTGGGATTTAGGGTTTTGGATACAGCCGAGAGAGTCGATGGATGTAACATTGACTCCATATTGGATAGCTTCAACAAGAAAACTCAAATGTTGAACTCAGAGCACAGACTCCAATTACTCTCTCTATATATCGATACACCTCTCCGTCTCTTTTATATCTCTTTCTCTCTCTATCTCTATATGTATGTCTCTGTGTAGATTTTTCTCTCTCTCTCTCTCTGAGATTCCTGCGCCTTTCAATTCTCAGCTGTTTCGGATGGCTGAGGCGGGATCGTGGTTGAAATAAATGAGAATGCAGAGAAGTTTGTTTCGTGTGCTTATTTTTACCAAGTTGACCTTGCTTCAGCTGTCAAATAACGAAATCAAACCTTTTATTCTCACTTTTCTATCACTTTAGCAAACACGTGTTATGCATTTATGTGATTTTCTCAGTATGTATTAGTATTTGTAAAACCTTATGAGATTTTTGGATCAAAAAAAAAATTTTTTTTAGGTAAAATATATTTTTTTATTTTGAATTTTAGGTGTTTAGTAAAGGATTAGGTTAAGATTAAGGCCGAGTTCATCTGGATGGATTTGAAAAATAATTTGTTAAAAATTGATGAATAAGTTATTTTTGTTAGATTTTTGAATGTAAATTTTATGATATTGGTGAACCTTGGAAAAATTTAAGTATCGACAGTTTTGAAAATTTTGCAATACGATGCAATGAAAAGCCTTATACAAAATTTCAGCAGAGTACCAATTTAATTCAACGTCTTAGAGTCCTAAAGATCATATTTTAATGATGTGACCAGAACATAAATGGACATAAAAATGAAATTTTTCATAATTAAAACAAATTTTAAAAGTGTTGGAAAAGTGTGAAGAATTATTTTACTTTGAAAAGATTTAGAAAATAAAACTTTCTTGTCAAAAGGGACCCTTTGAGGATTTCGAAATCCTTGCTGCATAGCATGTGTACATATGATGAATATGATGAAACTATATATATTTTTTTTTGGTGTGATTTTTCATAATTGAAATGAACTCTAAATAATTAACTACCATGTTAAAACCTGAATTAACCTAAAGGATCAAGAATACAAAAAATAATAATAATAATTAAAAAAAAATAGTGCAAAACATTGACATTGTCATAATTCGGACAAAACTCAGATTAAACCCATAATTGAAAGACCTTTTTGAGTTGATTATCAAACATGAAATCTATAATGTTTTTAAGTTGAAAAAATGCTGGGAGTTTAATTAAAACAATATACTTTTTACAATTTTAACAGTTTTTTTTTTTTTGGACAATAATATGGTTTAAAAATAAATTAATGGGACTTTCACGAGGTTAAAAACTTAAAATTCCAGAATTGATATTTTACTTATAAAAACCTTTTGCAAATTATACAAAAAAATATATATATTATATCAAAATGAAGTTTCTTGGTGCTCCTTTTGTTTTGCAATTGGAAGGTGGTCACACAAGTGTAGAATACTATTGACAATATATGTTTAAAGTTTGAACTAATAATATTAATACTTGAATTGTGTTTAAGGCTTCGTTATTTTGACCTAAAATATTTTATTCAAAAAATATTTTTTATTTTTTAGGCAAAGAATATATATATATATATATTTTATAACTTATCGAAAATTAATAATTTGTCAAAAATTAATGAATAAGTTATTTTTTTAAGTTTTAATGCATTTTATTTTATAAATATTTTAAATCTAAACACACCGAACAATTAAATTGGTCTCTTATTCATGGTTGGTATTCTTTATACTCTTAAAATCCTCCCATTTTAATCTCTCTCTAGAGTCTAGATAACATATATCATTATTGTTATCTCTGCATTATTTTTCTCCATGATTTTGCACCTATCAACTCTCTCTCTCTGTTGAAAATTTCAGCCTTGGAATTTCTTTTGAATTATGCTCGCAGATTTGAATATAATGTATAGGGAGAGAGTTGTGAAGATTTAAGTTTGGAACCTACAAAGTTCACCAAAATAAGCCATTCATATTAAATTCATCAGAAGTATCACAACACAACTGTTTTTACAAATTTGACAATTATATTTAAGTTATGCTTGGCAGACATGAAATTAGAGATTTAAATTTAGAATTGGTAGAATTGAAAAAAATTAACTCAAAAAATTAAACAAAAGATTTATCTAATTCCACCAATTATAATTTTAAGATTCTAATTTCGTGCCGCCAAATATCAGGGGTGGCAATTCGTATTCATGTCGTGTCGATATAAGGATATTATATTAAATCGGTAAATCTAAACCCAACCCATTTACTAATCGTGTCAATAATTCTCAACACTAACCCAACCCGTTTATTAAACAGATAAACGCGTTAACCCGTTTAGTGACCTGTTTATCAAAACGAGACATTTAACAAATACTAAATAATAGAAAAAATTTGTCATAATTAATCAAAATATTCAAAATAAAAAGACAAATCATAAGGTATAGACAAAGTTTATGTTAAAATGACTTAATTTTCCATAATAATTAGGTTTAAATAGGTAACATATTACGTAAATCATATTCACAATAATAACATGTTAAGTTAAATGGGTCAGAAACAGATTACACGGGTTGAATTCCTCAACCCTAATCCGACACGGTTAAGTAAACGGGTTAATCGTACCGACCCTTTTATGACCCAAACCCGTTTATGCCAAATATAAGTTTTTTTTAACTCGTGTGTGTTGTAATTTGTCACTCCTATTAAATACATACCAAATAATCAAAGATGATAGCTAAATACATACCAAATAACTAAATATAACATATACTAAACACTCATAACACCATAACAAAAAACTCCAAAAAGATTGGATACTTGTGCAGGTTCCACTAGCCATAGACTTACACCCTTTATTGAGGGTTGGACTCAATCTGAACACAAAACTAGACCAAGTTCTGAAGCGATTAACATGAAAATATAGAGCCGTGCCAGCAAAAATTTAAAAACAAAATAAAAGAATCCCTCGACGATACAAATCGCTCAGACTTAAACCTAATTGTCACGATCAACAAATTCAAAACAGCAATAGTTTCAGATACAAGGAATCTGAGAAATCAATCAGACTTAAAACCTAATTGTCACGATCAACAAATTAAAAACAATAATAGTTTCATACCAAGAATTAGAGATTTAGACGCAAAATTGCATCAAGGCCGCCGAATCAATACTAGTCAATTATTCTAATCACTTTAGGAAGAAAAAACAAAGAAAACAAATAAAGCATATTCCTTTGGACCTGTCCATTAAGGTGTAATTATTATACTTCCAAAAATAATAAAAAGTCTATAAAGTTGCAAATAAATTCTACATGATTTGTATATGGTCAAAATTTCGGACTAAAATTCCCTATTAACTTTGACCATCTCATATAACTTTATACTATGGTATTTAAAACTAATTTTCAAGTGAGATTATCTTAACATTGGCAACGTGATGTATTATTTGTGAACTATTTTAAACTAATTTTGAAGCTTTACAAAAGAATCTTGGTTTTTTTTTTTTTTGTCAATTTGTGATTATTTTTCCTAGAATAGGAAGGGTTTTTCCCGGGGTTTGCTAAAAAAACATAATATATATATATATATATATATATATATATATATATATATATATAAGAAATGGATGGCCTGTATGATCAAAATCAAGTTTAAAGTTTGCTTAACTAACTAGGATAATCATTATGCAAACTAGTGAACCAAATGGTGCCATGTTGTGCAATATTAATATATTTGAACCATTGACTCAACTGACAATAATGTTATATTTTGACATATTCAAATCTATTTGTTAGCAGAACCAATCCCTCAACTATTCCTTGGAGCTGCGCTTAGGGCATGTTTGGCAACACAATAAGCCCCTGTTAGGGATAAAATAAACGGAAGATCCATTACAGGCCATTGCAATATAACATGTTTAGCTATGCAATAAGCCCCTCAACTAATAATTTGAAAATATTTTAGACAATCAATGCCCTATATGATAAATATCAGTTTCTCCCAAACAAATAAATAATCATAACGCAAAATAAATAAATAATATTTTGAGTTTGTTTAAGGGGAAAAAATCCCAATTACCCTTTTGGGATAAATCACAGTGCAAAATTAGTCGAGAGAAAAAAACATGTTAGAAAATAAAACTAATGAATATGCAAATTCGAATAAAAAAGTGAGGTATTTTGAAATACCTCTTTTACGTGGTTAGGGTTGGTTGAGGATACCACGGTTCGATCCCACAACCTGAATGAGGAGGAAGGTTTTAAACACTTCAGCCGGCAGGCTAGGGAACCAAGTGGTGCCGTGTGTTGCAACACTAATATAGTTGAATGACCCGCCAACTGACAATAGTGAGGATTTGCTTTATTCATATCCATTTATACTCTCTGTGCATTAATCGTGTTTCAACACATTTATTTTATAATATTTCAACGCAATTTTAACACAAAAAATAAATAAACACTATTTAAATGCGTTAAAAAACTTAAAATAATGACGCTCAAACGAGATTTCAACACACTTAAATGTGTTGAAAATTAATTTAAATGTACTAACAAATTTTACAGTACGATTTAAACACCTCACAAACCACCCTAAAAAAATCGAAAAGAGACCATCCCCAACCATCATTCCTCATCAGGAGCAGCGTCTAGGGCATGTTTGCCAACACAATAACCCGGTCAGGTGAAATAAATGGAAGATCCATTACAGGCCACGACGATAAAGCAGCCCTTTTAAGGATCAACCAAAAACAATTTAAAACCAGTGCAAGTAAAAAAAATTACACCACTACATCATCCTACTTCTAGTACAATAAGCATGACAGTGAGAAATCATAAAAAGAAACATGAAGGCTAGATAATTTCAGTAAATCATAGAACCTTCTATTGCTAGCATTGTGCTAATGGTAACCAAGAGGAGCTGGTGACTCCCTTAGAATATCCTGCAATGTACAACAGGAGCACCATCATATATTTATATATATTTTCATTGACAAGAAACTCACGCACCCATTTTTCCTACGGGGACTCGAACCCTCACCACCATATTCATAAAGAAAAACTACTAAATTTTTTTAAAAATATATGAAAAAATATAAACAGACCAAGGCCACATTTTACTCTCAAGTATCACCAAAATGTGATACCAGTCAGCATAGAATCTATCATGTTTGCTCCCAAAATAGAAATCATCTGATCCAATACAGTAAAAAATACTCGGATACAGCAGTAAAACAAAAAAAGAAAAGAAGTTATGGCATATTTGGCTTACACATTGATCAGTAAATCAGAAGACCATAAGAAAAGAATGTTTGTTTTAAGGCATCCAAGGCACTTTGCATGCATACATAACAGATCTCGACACAGAACCTGGCTAACTAAATGTGCTCCTCCTTCCAAGTAAAAACTAGTTGGTAACAAAAAGGAAACAAATCTACTCATAGTGCAACAAAAGTAGGAGCATTGAAAAGCATATTTTGACAGAATATTTTGCATTCTGTTCTCCTGCTTCCAACCAATAATATACCCTGGTACATCAATTAAATGAAGTGTGACTTCATGCGTCCATGATGTGCCTTGCAATTATATCTACTGCAATAAACGCATATTATTTATACTTTGATATAGCTGCAGATTGTCGATTTACCTAACCTTTTGTAGCACTTTGTTAAAAAAAAATAAAAAACAAAAGAAAAAAACCTTTTGTATCACTAAAGAATTATCTAAACTCATAAACCTCCATTACCAAGCTCATATAACCAAGCAAGGAATTAAAAAGAGTAGTGATACTCACAGAACCAAAATGGCTGACATCTCGATGATGAGCTTCATCAGCACGAATAACATTTGTTACATCTTTCAGGGTTACATCTTTTGGTAATCTCCAATAGTCTAGAGCAATAGAAGGAGCCGGTAATATTTTCAATTGCACAACTTTCAATATCCTTAAGATACTCTAAACATGAATGAATAGCCTCCTCCTCCAAATATCCAACAATTCTATGTGCCAGTTTGGTAGAAAGAAGATAAAGCACAAAGTAGGTATTGAAAAAGATTCCCAGCATAGTCAGAACCAGTAGCCTCCTGTACCATTTGGGCTTCACAAGCTCCACCATGGTCATCAGGTGCATCCTCTCATTGTCCACTTCTCCAAGCAAAGCTTTGATCCAACCACCGCTATGATGGAATGCACAGATATCACATGGCAGCAGCAGCGCTCCCACCATACTGTGTCCAGCTGCCACTATTTTCAGCATCATTGCACGACAGCCATACCATCTCTGCAACATAATTGCAGGAATTTGCAATAGAACCAGAAAATTGTTAGCAAAAACAACCGATAACTAGTACAGCCAATGAGAATGCGACTGAAAAAAAAAAAATTTGTTGTGTTTGGAAGCATGGGATGGAAGCCTTGGAATTAAACTTAGAGAAAAAATAGCTCAAACTTTAAACTAATCTTCCCCCAGATTCAATTTCCAACGAACCAATATTATGCTCCCAAACATACTTTAATCTGTTTTCCACGAAATGCCTGCAGCAATGATAGTTACAGAAAGCGAACATATAGTGCAAATAAAGAACACTGTGCTACATCAGTAAGAAAACACTTATTCTCATGGTTATTATGCGTTTGATACAACTGTTAAATTCTCATATGAACAGTATTAAAGAAAACAAATCGTCTATATTTTATTGTATGGCAACATCAAGTCACAAACTTCAAGCACGGCAATATTAGATCTTACCCTTTCCATAAACACAGTGTTGCTCAATTTGTTAAAATGGCACTCCATTGACAAGATGAAGAAAAACAAGAAACGATAGAAAGAATATAACAGACCTTAAAAAATATCAGTTGGAATTCTAAGCAATTTTATCCACAAATGTCTTCGGCTCGTCGTGCTTGCTCATATCAACAGATAGCCTCCCCTATAAGTCTCCCATGGCTGCAAAAAGGAGAAATTTAACCTTGAAACTGAAGGTCTTATTGAAAGCTTTTTCAAGTAAGGAAAAAGGGACAAGTGAAAAAAACATGAAAAGATTATTTTTTTCCTAAATACATGATAAGATTATAAATGACAAATTCGAATGAAAGAGCACATGTCAAAGGATCCCAAGCCACTTCATCTCTTCAATAAATTTTTTTTTTTTACACACACACACACACACATATATAGTTGAAAAATACGATCAAAGTTACAATTCTTTGCTGTAATTCCATATAATGCAACTAACAAAAGCATATTGCAAAACCTTCACGTTTTTGGGGTGATCTCCAGTTTTAGCACTCTTAAATGAAATTTTAACCAAAAGAGTATATATATATGTATGTATGTATGTATTGCCAGACCTTCATAGGTAACCTCTTCCAAATAAGCAAAAGAGTAAAAGCTGAGGAATATTCTGCTTTAAAAGAGTGAAAGCTTTTTCAAGTAACATAACAGGAAAAAGGGGCAAATGAAAAATACATTAAAAGATTATAAATGACAACTTCGAGCGTTAAGAACGCAAGTCAAAAGATCCTAAGCCACTTTATCTCCTTAATAATAGAAATGTTTATATATATATATATATATATATATATATATATATATATATTTGATCAATATGATCAAGGTTGCAATTTTTTACTGTAATTCCATATAATGCAACTAAGCAAAAGCATATTGCAAAACCTTCATGTTTTAGGGGTGCTCTCCACTTTTAGCACTCCTTCAATGAAATTTTACTCATCAAAAACAGAATTTAAATATATATATGTGTGTGTGCGCGCGCGCGCGCGCGCATGCGAGTGTGTGTGTGTGTGTCCAGACCTTCATGAATAACCTCTTCTAAATAAACAATAGACTAAAAGTTGAGGAATATTCTGCTTTAATCCTAACTACAGCATCATCAGTCTCATACTACAACATCTTGCACTTAAGCTGCATAGTAAATTTGATGTTCTTGTCTTCTTCAAAATGTATCAAAGGAATACACCATTTGTGTGTGTTGAGATCTAAGGATGGATGCAAAATAGTTGAACTATTTGCTTGTCAATAATGATGGTGTATACATGTATGTGTGTGTGTGTAGAGATGGATGGATAAATAAAGCATGTTTAGAAGCTCTAAGGAAATTAAATGCTTCCATTGGTCAAACATTGCACCTTTAAGGGTAATTATGGCACTAATTTGTGAGTCAAAAATGAAGTCATCGCTAAAACAACTGGTAATATATTGATCAAGATTCTGAAACTGCAACTATTTCATATTTCCGGAGTCATTGTGACAATGGCCTTATTCGAAACCACGGATCATCATATGCTATAATATGTAATACAAAATGAGACATTTCAAAAAATAAAAAATAAAAAATAAAAAATTGTAGGAATCAGTAGATGCCACCCACTTTTTTTGTCCCAACAAGTGACCACTAAATTGAACCATTTCTTGTCAGGATATTTAGAGTGTGTTAGCCATATAATGAGCCCCCTCAGCTAATAATTCAGATTTAGGAATTTTTTAGACAACGGATGGCCTGTATGATCAAAATCAAGTTTCAAGCTTGTTTAATCGACTAGGATAATCATAATGCTAATCAGTCAAGAGAAAATAACACGTTAGATAAATAAACCTCTAAAGCACACTCATAATTGAAGAATTTTACACTTCATACCCTTTGTTGTATATTTGGTACTTTTGATAGTTGTTTCTTATTTTTCTGGAAACTAAGATATACATAGAAAATAAAACTAATTAATTAATTAAGATGAAAACAAAGAAAAAATTAAAAGAAAAAAAATCACATACCTGCAAATAGAATAAAAGTTAAGGTATTTTGAAATACCTCTTAAATTATTCGGCCATGACCCCCTTGCATGTGCAAGATACCACTATTCGATCCCACGACCTCTCCTAGTTAGGTAGAATTTAAACATTGATGCCAACTGGCTAGGGAACGAAGTGGTGCCATGTAATGCAATATTTATACTAATATATCTGAACGGCCAACTCAACTGACAATAACATTATACAATTTCAGGCTTTTCAGCTTGTGTAAGGATTTGAATTATTCAAATACATCTTACAAACCACCCTGAAAAATCAAAACGAAGCAATTCCCCAACCATTACTCATCAGGAGATTTGCGTTGGGGAAATTTTGACGACAGAATAAACCCCCATGTGACAGGTGAAATAAATGGAAGATCCAATACAGGCAATGACAATAAAACAGCCCTTCTTAAAGGATCAACCAAAAACAACTTATAACCCAAAGCACATATATAAATTACACCAATACTTCATCCAATTTCTAATAACAAGAAACACGACAGTGAGATGCAAAATCGTGCTAATGGTAACCAAGAGGAGCTGGTGACTCCCTTAATTCCTTCCCTTGAAAATGAATATCCTGCAACAGCAAGATCACCATCATATTCGTAAAGGCAACTACCAAAATAATTTTTTTTTTAAAATGAAAAATGGCTGACCAAAATATATAGTGTTTGCTCCCAAAATATAGATCGTCTTAGCTAATACAGTAGCAAATACTCGGATACTGCAGTTAAACAAAAAAGAGGAGAAATTATGGCCTATTTGGCCTACATTGATCATAAAATCAGCAGACGATAAGAAAAGAAAGCCTATTTTAAGAAATCCAGGACACTTTGTCTGTATAACATTTCATCACACTAACAGAACCAGGCTAACTAAATGTGCTCCTGCTTCCAAATAAAAACTAGTTAGAAAGGTTCCCAACTTTCTTCCTAGTCTCATCTTGTCTGCAATTGGTAGATTGGGAAACAAATTCACTCAAAGTGCGACGAAAGTAGGAGCATTGAAAAGAAAGCAAAGGTCTATAGTTTTTCAACTTTCAGCAGAATATTTTGCATTGTAATCTCCTGCTTCCAACCAATTATATACCCTGGCCATCAATTAAATTAATTAACTGTGACTTCATTCATGCATCCATGATGTACCATATTTCAACTGAAATAAATGCATTCTTTATAGTTCTAATATGGCTGCAGATTTTCAATTTACTTATCCTTTTGTAGCACTAAAGAATTATCTAAGCTCATACAGTCTCCATTTCATTTAAATGCAAAACAGCATACGGAGGAGGAAGGTGAAATTCCTTTGGGCTAAATTTTGGGTCATTACTTTCATAGTAAATAATAGAACAGTTTTTAGATAAACCTTCCACAATTGACACTCTTGACGCTTCCATTCAACTAAAGATAGTCCAATTGTCTTCTTCCCACAACCGCAGCCTGGAATGAAATATATTTTTTGGAATTGTATATTCTCTTCCCTTACCTCTCTTTTTTTTTTCTTTTTCTCTCCATAGTCTTATGGACCTATTAACACTAATTAAGAGTGACCTTGCAGCAGTCATTCCCAAGCTCATAAAACCAAGTAAGGAATGAATAAGGGTAGTGATACTCACAGAAACAAAATGGTTGACATCTCGATGGCGAGCTTCATTAGCACGAATGACAGTCACAACATCTTTCAGGGTTGCATCTTTTGGCAATCTCCAATAGTCTACATCAATAACAAGACCCGGAATATTTTCAATTGCACCGCTTTCAATTTGCATAAGATACTTTGAATATGAATGAATAGCCTCCTCCTCCAAATATCCAACAATTCTATGTGCCAGTTTGAGAGAAAGGTGATAAAGCACAAAGTAGGCATTGAAAAAGATTCCTTGCACAACATCAGGTCTCATGATCGATTCCTGCTAGGTGCAAACAATTCCTTGGAGTGGGGGTGTGTGAGTACCACCAACTAGGAAAAAAAAATAAAAAGATTTCCTGCAGAGTCAGAACCAGTAGCCTGTTGTACCATTGGGCTTCACAAGCTCCACCATGGTCATCAGGTGTATCCTCTCATTCTTCGCTTCTTCAAGCAAAGCTTTGATCCAACCACCACTATGATGGAACTTGTGCAGATATCTCGTGTGTAGCAGCAGCACTCCCATACCGGGAACAGCTGCCACAATTTCCAGCATCATTGCATGACAGCCATACCGTCTCTGCAACATAATTGCAGGAATTTGTACTAGAACCAGAAAAATGTTAGCAAAACGACTGATAACTAGTATAGTCAATCGAACGCGATTGCAAAAAATATTATGTTGTGTTTGGAAGCATGGGATGGGACCCTTGGAATTAATTTTGGAGGAAAATTAGTTCAAACTTTAAACTAATCTTAAGTAAAAAACTTATTCTCATGGTTATTTCGCATTCAATACAACTGTTAAATTCTCATATGAACAGTATTAAAGAAAACAAATCACCTATGTTTTGTTGTATGGCAACTTCAAGTCACAAACTTCAAGCAACGACAATATTCAATCTTTCCCTTTCCATAAACATAGTGTTGCTCAATTTTTAAAAGGGACCCCATTGACAAGACAAAGAAAAAGAAGAAACAAGATATAGAAGATAACACGCCTTAAAAAACATCAGTTGCAATTCTAAGGTATTTCACAGTCCTGTAAGCAACTTTATCCCCAAATGTCTTCGGCACATGGTGCTTGTTCATCAGATCAATTCAAAAGTCTCCCCTATAAGTCTCCCATGGCTGCAAAAAGGAGAAATTTAACCTTGAAAACTGAAGGTCTTGTTGAAAGCTTTTTCAAATAACATAACAGGAAAAAGGGAAAAGTGAAAAATACATGAAAAGATTATAAATGACATCTTCGTGCGAAAGACCGCATGTCAAAAGATCCTAAGCCACTTTCTCTCTTTAATAACAGAAATGTTTATATGTGTGTGTGTGCGTGTGTATTTCATAAATACAATCAAAGTTACAATTCTTTGCTGTAATTCCATTTACTGCAACTAAGCGAAAGCATATTGCAAAACCTTCAGGTTTTGGGGTGCTCTCCGCTTTTAGCACTCTTAAATGATATTTTACACATGAATATATATATATATATATATATATATATATATATATATATATATATATATTGGGTAACCTCTTCCAAATAAGCAATAGAGTAAAAGCTGAGGAATATTCTGTTTTGACAGAGTGAAAGCTTTTTCAAGTAACATAACACGAAAATGGGGCAAGTGAAAAATACATGAAAAGATTATAAATGACAACTTCAAGTGAAAGAGCGCAAGCCAAAAGATCCTAAGCCACTTTATCTCTTTAATAATAGAAATGTTGATATAAATATATATAAATATATTTGGTAAATAAGATCAAAGTTGCAATTCTTTGCTGTAATCCCATATAATGCAACTAAGCAAATGCATATTGCAAAACCATCGTGTTTTTGGGGGTGCTCTCCACTTTTAGCACTCCTTAAATGAAATTTTACTCATCAAAAAGAATTTAAATATATATGTATTGCCAGACCTTCATGGATAACCTCTTCCAAATTAGCAATAGAGTAAAAGCTGAGGACTATTGTGCTTTAATTCTAAACTACAGCATCATCAGATTCATACTACAACATATTGCTCTTAAGCTATGTAGCATATTTGATGTTCTTGTCCTCTTGAAAATGTATCAAAGGAATACACCATGTGTGTGTAGAGATGGATGGATGGATGCAAAATAGTTCCATTAATACTAAGTAAACAATAGACTAAAAAAATTAGAACTAAAAAATTCTTCCCTCATCGAGATCAACATTCATATGAATTTTTGAAAAAAAAAAAAAAAAATCATTAATGGAACTATTTTGCTGGTGAATGATGATGGTGTATGCAATGCATGTGTGCGCGTAGAGATGGATGGATGGATAAAGCATTTTTAAAAGATCTAAGGAAATTAAATGGTTCCATTGGTCAAACATTGCACCTTTAAGTGTAACGAGTTATTGCAAATAAGTTCCATTAATACTAAGCAAACAATAGAGTAAAAAAATTAGAACTAAAAAATTCTTCCCTCATCAAGATCAACATATCATATGAAAAAAAAATAAATAAATAAATAAATAAATCAATAATGGAACTATTTTGCTAGTGAATGATGATGGTGTACACTATGTATGGATGGATGCCCAAAGCATTTTTAAAAGCTCTAAGGAAATTGAATGGTTCCATTAGTCAAACATTGCACCTTTAAGGGTAATTATTGCAATAATTCGTCATCATCACTAAAACAAATGGTAATATTGACCAGGATTCCAAAATAGCCACTATTTCATATTTCCAGTCATTGTGACAATGGATTCAATTCCATTGTAATGGCCCTATTTGAAAACACTGATCATCATATGGTATAATATGTAATACAAAATAAGACATTTCCAAAAAATGTAGGAATCAGTGGATGTCACCCACTTTTTTTTTCCCCGGGACAAGTGATTAGTAAATTATTGAACCATTTCTTGTCAGAATATTTAGAGCACGTTTAAAAATTGCCCCACAGTAACATGAAACAAAACCTCAACCATTATATATATATATATATATATCAAGAAAAAAAGAATAGCAAAACTGGAAAAGACTCCAGGAATCAATTTTAAAGTTCCTAACAAGAAAGCATCTAATTGATATATACAATTGTGGAGAGAACGTAAACGATCACGTACAAATGCAAAAACAAAACAATAAAGCCCTGCAAAGTAATTCCAAGAACAAGAAGAAAACGGTCAAAAATTGCAACACAGAAACATGAAACAAAACCTCAACAACAATTAATCCATATTTACCGTAAAACAATTCATCTTCGATCAAAATCCAGAATTAGGGTTTTATATTCCGGTAAATTGTGGACTAGTACAGGCTTTAAAGGCATCTTGAAGAGCAGTTACAGGAAGAGAGTACAGTACAGTTTATATAGAGAAGGGACGGAAAGGGACTAGTGTATCGTAACCTACTGTTTTAATTTACTTCATAGTGTAAATTTAGGTTTACCGCTCGATTAACATTTTTAATACGAGTATTTTTTTTTTCCTTTTCTAGTTAATTAATATGTTGGGTTGTGAAGTAATGGAATAAATAGGGAAATTAGCGAATACTTATTAAATGGTGGTGCTACCAACGAAATAAAAAAAAAAATTAGTAGAAAACAGTAAATTGATATATTAAAAAATTTAAAGTGGTGACAATTTGAGCATTTATGCCATATTGTCATGACTACAATAAAAATATTATATTATTATAATTTTAATACGAGCACAATTTATTTATTTAATGTTTGTAGTTAAATAGGTTATTTATGATACAAAAATGATACATTTATCTAATTGAATTATAATTCTATTTATTTTCTTTATTTTTTTTATCCTGGTAAGTTAGGAGGAAGGGGACTTAGCTGAGCGTTCTATTAACTATAAGTCACCGGGTAAATGCCTAACAAATATGTTAATTCGAGTCAACACAATTATGATTCGATTGTGATTAAATCGAGCCTAAATTTTTTTATTTTATCTCATTTCATATTCAAATTGTATTAATGTGGTGTCAAATATTATACTCAAAATTTTATTTGTCCAAGCATGTCCCATAATTACTGGGTGTATGGAACTTATGGACCTGTTTGGTTTAGTTTCTTAGAATATTTTTATGTTTTCAAAGAATTGATAAAAAAAAAAAAAGAAAAAGAAAAAAAAAAAAGAGGGGTATATAAAAATCTTTTTGCTTGACAATTTTTTATGGTAGTGAAGGGTTTGTGAGGTAGACTTAGGGGTGCCCATTTATTTAATCTATTTAATAAATAAATGGGTCATGTGACTAGCAAACTAAACTGATTAATAACCTATTTAATTAGATGTTTAAATTAAATCAATCATGTAACCCATTTATTAACTTTAGTATAAAATGCAAATATAGTTAAAAAAATAAATAATAAATTATGAAAATTATGAAAATGAGGATACTTGGACAATATAATTACAAAAAGGGGGAAATATAATATTCATACTGGGTTAAATATTGAAATTACAAAAATGTAGATAGGGTTTTTTTTTTTTTTACAAGAATGACACAATTAATTAAAGGGTTTTAATCAGATTAAATGGGTTATAATTAGATTAAATGGGTTATATGTGTTTTTTTTTCTTTCTTCAAATTTGTTGAGAACAAGAGCCAAAGCTCTGAAATGAAAACTATCAAAGGAGAAAAGCAGAAATATGAGTAACCCAAATGCCTAGCCATCATCAAGGTAACAACTCCAAAGGTATATTTTACAAGGCGCTCTAACCGGGGGGAAAAAACACCCAAAACACGCACGAGATCAAATCAAGGACAAAGATCAGATCAAGTCGGGAACAACCAAAACCGACCTAGATCATAAATCTAATCGGAGAGAAAACAGCAAATCCTTCCATACTAGCCGAAAACAAGCTAAACATGAGCAAAACGGAGTGGAAAACACCCACGGAGCGAGCTTATTGAAATACATCGAGTTTATTGAAACCGTGGAAGACAAAATGGCACCTCCCCACTCCCATGTAAGGGAACAGGGAGAAAAACGGAGGGGAAAAAAAGGGTCCGAACTGTTGGAGAGAGGGAGAAAGGGTGATGTATGTAAAAAGGACTTATCGGGTTATATGAGTTGACACAATTGAGGTTAAGTCAAACTCGTGGCTAACTTTGTGTCGTATTCAAATTGTATTAACGGATTCAAATATTTGCAATCACCACCAAATCACGTATCTTACTTAATTCCTCATTTTTATACTTCGTGAGAGTCAAATTCAAGACATCCGAGTTTACTGCTGTTCTTTGAAGCTTAGTTTGTTAAAATACTAGATGAAGTAAATAATGGTAATAAGCATTTTATAAAGTTATGAAGTAAATGCAAGAAGCAATTTGTTAAAATGAGTGTGAGTTTACTAACATCAAATTTCTCTCTTTGTTTGCCTATTTTAATTGATAGTGATTGGCTTGTGTTAGGAGAAAAGAAAGAAAATACATGTGTGTGTGTGTGTGTGTGTGGATGGCGATTGCAGTTGGCCACTTCGACCAGAATATTCAACATTTGAACCTAGGTTTAACAATCCACCATTTCCCTAAACTCTCACTTCATGTCCAACAAACCCATCACCATTGGTTTATGGCGCGGTTTAAACTTTCCTATCAAATGAATGATGCTGCTATAAGGTGGATCACATCACAATTGTTATGATTTCTTTTTTAAGTTAGCAAATTTAAAATAAAATAATAATGATGATGATGCACAAATTATATCCATCACGGAACTAATATTAAAGTGATTATACAATAGAAGAAGAAAAAAAAAACAAATTAAACAATATTATAATATAAAATTATTTAAGACAGTAACAAATGATAGTTTAATTTAGTCTTCAAGAAAGAAAATGTAAAAGTTTAATTGATTTATATGATTGATGTAAATGAATTTTGGTATGAAATTTTAACCGTTTAACATTCTGTTCGCGCGGTTTTTGTTCACACTGGTCGATGGACTTTTGCAGGCGTGCCAAAGTATTTGTATAAAATAGTCAAAATTATGAATGAACACCAACCTATCCCTTTTCCGTTGGCTGACTTCAAGCGAATGTGTGGGAGAGAGAATAGTAAGAACTTCCAGTAAGGTTCTTTTTCTGTCTTGTTTGTAAGAACTTTTTATCAAAGTGTTAAAAGAATGCAAATGCAATTACTAAAGAAATTTGAATGAACTAATTGAATTTCAATTGACTAAAAAATAAACGGCTGAATTGAAATGAATGACAAGAATTTAATCAAATTGCCAGTAAAATGAATGACAAGAATTTAATCGATTGCCATTGAAATGGATGACAAGAATTTAATCGATTGCCATTTAATTTAATTGAATAAAACAAATATTTTGAAATGAAATAGCATAATTAAAACTGGCAGAATGGAAATTGCATGGAAAGTAAAGAAATGAAATAAACTGGACGAATTAACATGACGCAAATTTTATCAAAGATGGCCATTGAATCCGTTTGTATGAAAGAAATGACTGATAATGTAAATAGCATAATTAAAACATTGCAAAAAAGAATAATAAGTTACTGAAACTTAGTTTCGAAAATTGCCATTTGGACAAAAGAAATAAAGAAATTGATAAATGACGTAGAGCCAATTGAATAACAAATTCATGTTTTGTAAGTGGTGCTAGACGAATTGAAATGGAATTACAATACTTCTATTTATAGAAGTTATAATCTAACTAATTTATCTTTAATCTTCACTAAAAAATCTCTTCTAGCTTGATTCTTTCTCTTCGTAATTCGAACCGAGTCCAATCCCATGAATATTTATGCTTCCTTTCTCGTCTTTGAATTTCTCTTTTTATTCCTTGCTTCAGTAGAAAATCTTCGCTGAAGAAAACCCTCCTTAATTTAGTCAGTGTTAGTTGTTAGAATGTTGTTGAAAAGTTGCTAATTTCTTTACTTATACTTGGCCACCGCATCTTCCCTTAGATGGCCAAAAAAAACCATTTATTGCTTTTATATTTATTCATGATGCGGCTGCCCTTTGTATCTTTCTTTCTCTTCTCTAACTAAATCCCTACATCTCATAGTCTTTCTTCCCTAATAAACAACTCATTCAAATTTAGTCGAATATTACTTGCTATATTTGAGGAACAACCTTATTGATGAGGTGGCTAAGAATATTTTCCTAAATTCTCTCATTTTGTTTCTCAAATGGCCGCCTTTATTCAAAAATCGTACTGAACACTTCTCGGCTCCTTACTGGTCTACGTCACTGCTGAGGTGACTGCCAAGTTTTGGTGCCAACACATTCATACAATCTTCTTTCAAATTATTAAATAATTCCCCGCCCCCGCGGCGACTATACTCTTGGTGCATCTAACCCTCTCCAATTACAAATAACTCCCTCCAACTATGCAATTGGTTAAGTTTTAGGACACTATTCCGGTTCACTTTCTTCATCAAAAATTTGTAAAAGATTTTTTCACCTTTTACATAACAAGTTGCTATTTAATATTAAAGTATTGTTACGGGGAGTTGATATTACTCCACCAACATCCTTAGCCTCCACTTCCTGTTTTTTTCTTTAATAAAAATTACAAAAGAGTCCATATACTATAGAATACTTCATTCCTATTTTTTTATTCCATATTTGTCCTCTTTATTTAATTAAGGACTCTTTAATTTTAATTCATTCAACTTCTATCGCTGAATTTCATGGCATCAACAACTATAAAAACAGTAACAAAAATTCACTTTCCTCCTCTCCCATCTCCATGGGCGGAGCTTTTAATAGGCTAACCTCCGCTATAGCCCAAGTTTTTTTAAAAAGATTAGTACTATTATTCTTATCAGCACAATTCATATGTAATCAATTTTTAATACTAGTTTTTCCTTTCTTTTCAGCCCAATCCATAATACTACTCTTCTTCCTATCAGCCCAATCCATAATACTACTCTTCTTCCTATCAGCCCAATCCATCTGTGATATGCAATCAATTTTTATTACTCTTCGACCACTTTCTCTTAACACCCCATGGTATTTTCCCTTATTGGGTTTAGCCTGTTTGGGGTCAAGGAAATTGCATAGACTTGAGAGGGGGTCTAATTTATCATATTTTTAAACACACACACACACACACACACATATATATATATAATCAGTGAAGAGAATACATAGAAAAAGAAGAATCTCCGTAAGATCAAGAAACTCTATTTACAGGTGATTTGTATTTTTATCCCCAAAAAACTTGATTTGATATATAAGAATATCATCGTTTTTTGATCTATTTTTAAATATATATATATATATATCATATCTTTATCATAAAAGTTATCTTTAATTCCTTACTTTATAATCCTGGTTCGCCCTGATCGTCTCCCCTCCCCCGTTAGTAAATTTTGCACAATTAAATATATAATCTTTATACATACATGGTTGGTGGCCGATTGTGATGTCAACAACCATTTTGTATGTAATATTATCTATTTTAATGCTCATGTAATCGTAAGTAAGCAATTGGAAATCGTTTAAAGATTTTTTTTTTCATATAATTTTTT